GCAGGGCTAAGTGGAAAAGCATTGTCCCCAGGAGCCTCTCATCACCACTTGGACCCTGTGTGGTCCACTCACTGTATATTTCCAGTCCTGTAAACATGAAATTCAGCATCTACCTTCCTACTTCTGAAGGTGTGTATAGCATACAGTTCTTCTGATCTCCCTCCCTCCCTCCCCTTTTGCAGTTTTGGAGAATAAACTCAAGGCCTCACAGACACATGGCAAGTGCCATTTGCCATACCTCTGAGTGACACCCTCAGCACAGTCAGTTCTGATTTTTCCTGATGAAAATTAGTCAATTCCAAATCAATACACAGTTACATTTCTGCAATTCTCTTGCCACAACCCTTCTTTTATACATTTTTTTTTTGCATTCTCTCCCCTTTAAATATGCTTTTTTTGTTTTTGTTTGTTTTTTGACAGGGTATCATGTAGCCCCCATGTAGTTGAAGATGACCTTGAACTTCTGATTTAATTTAATCATTTAAATGCATTTTCTCTGTAAGACACATCCCAGGCTACCTGCTCCAGGCAACCCTAGGCAGAGCTTCAGATATGGAACAGGCCATTTGAAACAGTCAAAAAACTGAAAAGTGTGAAAACATGGCAGTCACCAGACCAGGAGGACACTGTCAGTAGCAAGAGAGCCAAACAAGAAGGCTGCTATTTATATTCAGCTAGAAATGGATGAATTGAGAAACTCACATTTTTTTACTCATCTTTGTGCACATCAACAAATAACTTACAAATGATGGCTTGTGGGTTATAATTAAACTTTAGCAAATAGGCAATATAAAAACATGCAAAATCCATGAATACTAAGAAAGTATGGTAGCTTTGTTTCCTTCTGAGCTGTTCTCAGCCTCTGGAGCAGTGAATTTAATATCTCTTGCCCAGTGATATTAACCTCTATTAGGATTTATTGGAGACATGCTAGAAGCTAAAAATCTACCCCTGACAATTGCAAGACCCCGAGCAAAGAGTCAGCTCTCCCAGCTTGCTTGGACTGAAGGATTCCCCGAGGCAGGAGCCACTTTGAAATCCAGGAAGTACCTTAGTCTCTGTCAGTTCCTTTTCCTATGCTTGTGACAAAATACCTGATAAAATCAGCCAAAGGACTAAAGGGCTTATTCCGATGTGTTTTATCACAGTGTGTGTGTGTGTGTGTGTGTGTGTGTCAGTGAAAGAGAGAACACAATGGTCCTATGATGGAACTCAAGTCATCAGCCTTGGCAGTAAGCCTATCTTGCTGGCCCAAGGACATGTTTATTTCAGCAGTCTGAGGGTAGTATTCATCTAGGTGGGAAGACATGCAAGTGAGAATGGGAAGCAGCCAATTGCATTGCATACAACCAGAAGACAGAGAGCTGAATGTCGGTGCTCATTTGCCTTCCTCCTTTGCATCTAGGGATGCAGTGGAATGGTGGCACCCATATTTGGACTTGATCTTCCCTGCTTAGGTGAGTGGAAATGCCTCCCAGACGTGGTTCCTAGGTGGTTTCAAGTCTATATAAGTTGGAAACAAGGTTAACTGCCGTAGTCACCTGAAAGATTACATGAAAATAGTATTGTTTTGTTGGTTTGTTTGTTTAAGTCTCTCCAATAAACAACACAAACTCGTTGTTGTTGTTTGTTTGTTTTGTATTATTGAGACAGGGTTCTCTGTGTGGCTGTGGCTGTCCTGGAACTCACTCTGAAGACCAGGTAGGCTTCAAACACACAGGAAACTCACTCTTATTTTTAAAAGACTTGTTAATTTTTATTTATTTATGTGTGTGAGAGTCTGCAGGAGCATATGTGCTTCTGCATAAAGGGCTCTGGGTGGCCAGAAGAAGTGGTTGTAAGTTGTCATGTGGGTGCTGGGAACTAACCTCTACTCCCTGCAGAAGCAGTAAGTGCTCTTAACAGTTGAACCATCTCTGTAGCTCCCAAATAGTGGAGTTTAAACTTGAATTATATGCCATAACTGAATATTAAAAGTGTAATTATTTTTTTCAAAAGCAAAAATTCATTCAAGCCTTTTGTGTCTTCTCCATCTTAGACATTTAGTGTTTACAGCGAAGGCATAGTTATTGTAACCACCACTTGTACTCTACAGGAAGAATGCCCCAGCCTTCATGTCCAGCTCTTGTCAGTCAAACCCAGTGTCTTTTGAGTTCAACACCAGAGTGGTGGGGAAATGGATGCTTTTTTTTTTTTTTTTTTTTTTTTTTTTCTCTTGGGATGCTTCATTATTCAAGCCTGACACCCCATCCTGCAGAGCTGGGTGTGTGTGTGTGTGTGTGTGTGTGTGTGTGTGTGTGTGTGTGTGTTCTCTCTCTCTCTCTCTCTCTCTCTCTCTGTGTGTGTGTGTGTGTGTGTGTGTGTGTGTGAAAGAGAGAGAGAGACAGACAGAGAAAGAGAAAGAGAGAGCAGCAGGGCACAGCTGCAGGTCCTCTTACCATGGGCAGAGCTGTCATTTGCTTTTTTGAAGGAACAGATGGTGAGATGTGGAGAAACTCCCTGAGGCCAGAATGGGCAGCTCAGCACTATGATGTCACCAGCCCAGGGCACTCCCAACAGAATGCTGGCTGTAAGGCAGACACAGAGACTGGGATGGGGGGCTAGGAGTGCTCCTAGCACTATGCCAGCAGCTATCTTCACACTTAGCCTCACAATGAGCCACATACATCTGTTTTCTCCCCCTGAGTACTAGGAAGCAGACCAAAGCTCTAGGTGGTTAAATGATGCTCATCAGGTACAAGGCAGAGAGCTACCTTGTCTCAGCACGTGAAGAGAGGCTAGACGGCAAACATGTGGCAAACAGGCCATTTCTCTACAATTTAGAAAGGAAACCAAAAGAGGGATGGGGGCAAAAAGACACATGAGTCACCAGAAATAATGTAAAACTGATGGGGGATGTCCTTCTGCGTGCTGTGAATATATGTTTCTCTTATTGGTTGTGATTAAAGCTGTTTTGTTCAATGGACAGGCAGGAAACTCAAACAGGGATAGAGAAAGGTAGTAGGCAGAATCTGAGAGATGCCATGTAGCTATGGGGAAGGTAGTATGCCTGGCCATTTTCTGGTAAGCCAAGACCATGTGGAGATACACAGATTAATAGAAATAATAATTAAGAGAGAGCTAGCCAATAAGAAGCCTGAGCCATCGGCCAAACAGTTTATAATTAATATAAGCCTCTTTGTGTTTTTGGAACTAAATGGCTGTGGGACCAGGTGGGACAGAAACGTCTGTCCACATAAAACAAACTTTTTCTAGTTTCAATATTGTCATAGTTGTTCCCCCCCTTCCCCCATTGTATAATGGACATGGGAAATCAACTCTCTGGGTATTGAAATACCAAAGAATCATTTTTGCATTCCGAAAGAATCCTGCCTATGTTCTTCCCTTGAGCAAGGACTGAATGGGGATATTGTTTTAATCCCACTGATCATTAGTGCAGTAGGAATTAGACACCACTAGTCACTGAACACATTTGTTGTGTTGACCCACTTTGAAAAAGTATTTTTAAAAGAACTTTGTTTTGTGGAGTGGGTGATTTTGTAACTTAAACGTTTTCCTTTTTTTCCTTCTGCTTAAAACTGTATCAAATTAGTCTACTATAGGACTGGGGAGATGACTCAGTGGTTAAGAGCACTGATTGCTCTTCCAGAGGACCTGGGTTCAATTCCTAGTACCCACATAGTGGCTCACAACTCTCTGAAACTCCAGTTCCAGGAGATCCAGTGCCATTTCTAGACTTCATGAGCACCAGGGCATGAATGTGGTGCATAGATATGCATGTAGCCAATGGGTGCACATCAAAATATTAAAAATAGATTTTAAGTAAAAGACATTCTATTATAGAGTAACATGCAAATTATGTTGCTATACATAAAATAAAACAAATAAGGTTTTTAGAATCTAAGCCACCTGGCCAAAGATACTTTGTGTCAGAAGCTCCCAGCTTCCCCATCTTTTGCCTTCATTGGCACCTGCCAATCACATTTTTATTTTGAAGTGACACTTTGACATGGAAATGTCAGGTTCTGCCAGGTGGTGCTATCCTCTTATCCTAGTTATGAGGCTAAGGCAAGAGGGTCAGAAGATGAAGTTCAGGTTGGGGTAAAGACTGAACTCAAAGCCAACTGAGTAACTGCAGGAAACAACATGTCTTAAGAAAAGGAGGCTGCAGCTGGGCAGTGGTGGGGCACGGCTGTAGTCCCAGTACTCGGGAGGCAGAGGCAGGAGGCTCTCGGAGTTCAAGGCCAAGCTGGTCTACAGAGTGAGTTCCAGGGACAGGCTTAAAAAGCTACAGAAAAACCCTGTCTTGAAAAAACAAGCAAACAACAACAAACAAACAAACAAAAGAGGCTGAGTGCAGCTCAGTGGCAGAGCGTTTGCTAGCATGCAGGAGGCCCCTGGTTCAGTTCCTAGTACTGTAAAATTAAACAAGGGGTTGGAGAGATGGTTCAGTGGTTGAGATCACAACTCCTTCTTCAGTTTGGTTCTAGGCACCCATGTGATGGCTCACAGCTGTCTGTAACTCCAGTTCTAGGGACTCTAACGTCCTCTTCTGGCCTCTGTGGACACTACACACCCGTGGTGAACAGGCAGGCAAAATACTCCATACGGGGAGAAAAATCCCTTAGTGTCTGTTTTGAAAAGAGAGAAAATGAGTTGAAGACTTACAGAACGCAAACTGAATAACTACAAAAACAGAAAACCTACATGAAAATAAAGAAAACGATATGTCCTTTTTAGATGGTGGCATCTCCGGTGTAGTAAAGGAGAGAGTGTCACCGGCATGCCATCCAGGACCTGAAACAAAGGGAAAGAGCCACTTCAGTCCAGCAAGCATCCAAGCCAAGGGTTTGGGAAAGCCCACAAGGGCGGAGGCGGGGCAGGAGTCCTGTACGCCTATTGGGCCGTCTTCCGGCTTATTTGCATGGTCCGAGTGGGGCGGGGTCTCGGGTGACATCATCCTAGGAGCCCTTGTGGCTGCTCCTCCCGTAGACTCAGAGCTGCAAACCTGGAACCGAGCTGAGCTGCAGCGCCACCCAGAGCGCCGAGCGCCGAGCGCCATGTACGACCCAGAACGCCGCTGGAGCCTGTCGTTCGCCGGCTGCGGCTTCCTAGGCTTCTACCACATTGGGGCCACGCTGTGTCTGAGTGAGCGCGCCCCGCACCTCCTCCGCGATGCACACACGTTCTTCGGCTGCTCGGCTGGTGCACTGCACGCGGTCACCTTCGTATGCAGTCTCCCTCTCGGTGCGTTCACGGCCACCACCCAGGCCCCGTGTGCAGGGAAGGGCTCTCCACCTGGGGAATCGGTGACACCTTCAAAGCTCCCCGAAAGAACCAGCTCAGACAGCTCCCACCCTTCCCGGTGCCAAGGGGCCTGGCGTGGGATTTCCGAGGGCAGGCGGCAGCGGGCGCGCTGTGCGCTGGAGAGACCTGAGCATCTTCTTCTCCGCCCGGACGCCCTGGTTTGAAATGGTCCCTCCACCTGGGTCCTGCCAGCTGGGCTATCCGGGATCACCAGGGAACAAGGTTCAGGGAGCAACGCAGGGGCGCGGGGTCCTCTGGTCCCTGTCATCAGAGCCACGAAGGGTTTGTCCTGTGTGTCTCTGGCTAATGTACCACGGTGGGTGCCGCCAGGAGGGGCAGAAGGTACCCACACTTGAACACCCTTTGTGGCAGTACAATCCTCTGGTCGCCTTGAGAGTTGGCTGTTGTGGGTGGGGTGCGTGGGTTAGGAAAGTATTTGGAACCCTCCCTAGAGACTGGAATGGATTCTCAGACAGGTCTAGTTCCACTCTATCCTGTCCTCGCTGACCTGGGCCAGCCGCTCCTCCCAGATCAATGTCACTGGCAGTGACATTCTGGGCATTTGAATCTTGGCCTAATTAAACATTTGTCCATGCATGCATCCATGTGCAAGAGAAGGTGAGTTTACTTCTCTCACCCCCTAAACTACTAGGGTGTAATGCCCTTCCCCAGTGTCAGCTGGATGCTTTTGAGATTGTGGGCAGGACCTGGCTAAGTGCCCAGGGGGGAGCTACTGGCACCCAAAGGTCCCCAGACGGCATGATAACGCCCATTATCAACCTTCATTGATCTGGACCTCTTTACTCTTTGCTCAGCTGCCCATAGCCAGCCCGGAGTGACTTTGACAGACACAGGACAGCTCCTGCTGATGAGCAGAGCTCTGCCATTGGATAGGATCAGTGAGCAGACCCTGAGCTGATGGGATTAGTAGACAAGCAGGTCTGGCTGTGTGCCTGCTTGTCTGTCTTCACCAATGAGGGAGAGAGATAGGAGCAAGGGTCAGAGAGTGGCCTCAGGGAAAACTAAACCAGCCCAATGGCCATTGCACACCCTGGGTTTTAGCACTGACCAAAAACATTTCTTACATGGAGGCCTCTGGACCACTGTATGGATGGAAGATTATTGAGACAAGGTTTAAATGCATTGAGCCCATGAAGATGAAGTACACCACTTTTATATAGAGCAGTGTTTCTTCTCATCCTGTGGTTGTGACCCCTTGGGGGATAGAACGACACTTTCACCTATGACCATCAGAAAACACAGATATTTAAACTATAATTCAAAACAGTAACAAAATTACAGTTATGAAGTAGCAACAAAAATAAGTTTATGGTTTGGGGTCACCACAATATAAGGAACTGTATAAAAGGTTCACAGCATTTAAGAAGGTTGAGAACCATTGCTACAGTGGTATCAGTGACTGCACAGAAGACAGGGGCAGCCTGTGACTGTCCTATCAGGTCACAGAGAGGCCAGAGTTATAGGTTATCTCTGGTAGGAACTGCTAAGGTGCATTGCCTAGGGCTTGTGACAGACACAGACCCTTGAGGCATCTGAGTGTTGGCTAGATTTGGCAGAGGGGGTGGTAGGATCTGCCAGTAGTATGTAAGTTCACTCTTAAGCCAGGCACAGCAAGGGGATAGGATTTGTTGGGAGTAAGGGTTAGGGTTGAATCAGACCAGGCCGGGATATGTCTGTCCTTGTGGAGTACAGGATTTGTGTTGCTGGTTGTGGTGCCAGGACAATGCTAGTGCCAGGAGGGCAGATGAATGTACCATGCACCCACTGTGCAATCTGGGAATTCTGGCCTTAGAGGCTTACATGGAGATTAGCCTCTTCAGCAGCCCTTTCTCAGTTGAGCACTTTATAGATGTTATTTTACTCAATACTTTCTGTCTCTAAAAGCAAGTAAATTTTACTGTCCTTGAAAAGGCAGTCTAGGTGCTTGGAGAGATGGCTCAGTGGTTAAGATTGCATACTACTCTTGCAGAGGACCCAAGTTCAGTTCCCAGCACCTACTTGGCAACTTACAGCCACTTGTAACTCTAGGTCCTGGGAATGTGACTCTCTCTTCTGGCCCCTGTGGACTCCTGTATACATGTGGTGCACATAAGGACACATATGTAAATAAATTAATCTTTAAAAAAACTTAAAGGCAATTGGAAGGATAGATGGGTGGCAGAGTGCTTCCCTCAGTAAGGGGTGGGGTTGAGAATGACATTTAGGTCCGGGCCTGCATTATTTCTTTTGTGCCCTCTAACGTTTAGTTCACTTGTGCCAAGGCTGATGTGTTGGTGACTTGTGGCTTTATGGACACATGGGTAGGAGTTCTCACATACACTGGAAGGCCACTGGGAGGCCTAGCTCAGTACTGTCCATGAAATACACACCACACTCATTTAGGCCATTTTGTATTTCTTAGTTGCTCCATTGAATAAAGTCAGACAGGATGGAATTGATTTTTTTTTTTTTTTGGAGCCATACCCAGAATATTATCACTTTGTAATAACTGTAAACCACTATTAAAGAGATAATGTCACCTAGTAAACCTTTGAAAAAAGCCTCCTGGAATGTGCTCAGTCATGACCAAAAATGCAAGGTATGTTTTATGGTGTCTTACTTGGGACCAGCCACGGTTCAGGAGTTCTCTGTGGTTTCTGGTCTCCAGTGTGGAACCCTGTTCTGTGGGTTTGTCTTCCATCCACAGATCAGATCATGAAGATCCTCATGGACCTTGTGCGGAAAGCCAGGAGCCGCAACATTGGCTCCCTCCATCCGTTCTTCAACCTTAACAAGTGCATCCGAGATGGGCTCCAGGAGACCCTCCCAGACAATGTCCACCAGGTCATTTCCGGCCGAGTTTACATCTCGCTCACCAGGGTGTCGGATGGGGAGAACGTGCTGGTGTCTGATTTCCATTCCAAAGATGAAGTGGTGGACGTAAGTCCTTTGCCTTTCTGGGTGTGGTCAAGTAAAACAGCGGTATAGTGTCATTGTCTCACTGGACTGGGGCCATATGAGCACTGTACATCAGTGACTTGGTCTGTAGCACCTGGAAGTCCCTCTATGTCAGGTCTCTTTAATTCTCTTAATTTTTCCAGTCCTGGGAATGGAAGATAGGTGTAGGTAGGTTTTCCTCTCCCTCCAGCCAGCTCCCAAATAACCACACAGAGACTTCTTATTAATTATAAAAGCTTGGCCAATAGCTTAAGCTTGTTTCTAGCTAGCTTTTATAACTTAAATTAACCCATTTCTACTAATCTATATGCTGTTGCATGGCTTATGGCTTGTTGCCTCTTCTCCCACATGTTCTGCTTCCTCTTTGGCTGGCTGGCAACTCTCCAAGTCTCTGCCTTCTTCTTCCCAGTGTCCTCTCTGTCCCAAAAATCCTGCCTAGCTACTGTCTAATCATCTTTTTATAAAACCAACTAGAGTGACAAATCTTCACAGTGTATAAAAAGATTCTCCCACAACAGATAGGCCCTTAAACATACCAGGCAAACACTCTACTGTGCAGCTGCACCCTTACAAAAGTTACTCTTCTTTCTTCAAGACCCAGAGAACTGGTCCTATGTGTGCCCCACACCCCAACCTATGCATGTTATGCAGTGAGTCTGATTTTTGTTTTGTTTTTGTTTCTTATTTGCCTCTAGTCTCAAGATCTAGCATGGAAAAGATAATTGACCATATCAAAATCTCATTTTGGAGCCAGGTTGTGGTGGCTCATGCCTTTAATACCAGAACTCAGGAGGCAGAGACAGGCAGATCTTTGTGACTTTGAGGTCAGCCTGGTCTAAAGAGCAAGTTCCAGGACAGGCTCCAAAGCTACAGAGAAACCCTGTCTTGAAAAACCAAAAAAGAGGGGGGAATTGCCATTTTGGGCCACATAGGCTTTTTATAGTTTTTAAATGAATAACGTGTTTGATTGAATGTGAGTTCCTGTGAGGCTGCACATGTGGCCAGCAGCCCTTCATGCAATCCAGTTCTCTACTTGAATTTCTAGTACCTTCTAAATTGCCAACAGCTATCTGTTCTCAGTGAACAGTGTGCTGTCCAGCACAGTGATTCTCAAAGTGTGGTCTGCAGGACCGCTGGGTTTCTAACCGGTTGTAGGAGGACCCTGAGCTCTTGTAGCTCCTGGGCAAGATGCATGGTTTCATCCCCTTATGTCACCAAGTCAGCCTGGGGGGCAAGGACAGAAAATTGAAGTGTGCAGGCAAATGGTTAAGAAGCCAGTATTGCTGATAAGACCCAAGGGCTTCAAATATAAGTATGAGTGTCATTCACCAAGGTGTTAAAAAGCCTATTGTGTGCAGAGAGCCTTTCACCTATGCTGCTCATTTGGGGGAAGAATAGAGGGGCACAGGGAAGTGCCGCACCTTGTGACAGTCAAGCCCCTTTGTCCTCACAGGCCCTGGTGTGTTCCTGCTTCATTCCTTTCTTCTCTGGCCTAATCCCTCCTTCTTTCAGAGGTGAGGTAAGTATACATGTGGGGGGGGGGGAGTGCAGCTGAGCATTTGAGGCCCTCTTTGTAGTGACCTGGGCTCCCATGGCTGTACCAAACTACAGAGCTGGGATCTTCAGCCTTGAGGACACAGGCATTCCCATAGGACTGATCCACAGACTCACACTCCCAGGAGTGTCTTCCACCTCCCTGACTGCTGTCTGTTGGATGCATTGGCCTGGCTCCTTTAATCTGCTCTTGAGCACCCTGGGGATGAGCCTGGTGGCCTAATTAAAGTGTAAGATGCTTAGGAATTAAATTACTCTTGTAAGGTAGTTGGTTTTCAGGGGAAATATAGGCTAGCTGTGTATTTCATTTTCTTAATCTTTTAGATAGGGCCTTACTATGTAACTTAGGCTAGAATCCTCCTAAGTACTGGGACTAAAAGCCAAATGCCATCACACCCAACAGTGGAACAAACTAATTTTTGTTTTGTTTTGTTTGAGTATATGTATATGTACCTTTGTATATGTGTGTCCTTTGTGGGCATAGCCCAGGTCTGGGTTACTAGGGACCCTAGCCATTAAACATATCTTGGATCTTGATATTGGTCCCTAGTCTTCTTGTGACATAATATAGGCATATGATCTTTCCAGAACTGAGTGGAAGGGACCCAGGAGCATCTCATTGATGACCCTACCTTCCTAGAATGCTTTTACTCAGGAAGGAGGGGCGGGAGTTCAAGGCCAGTCTTAGCTACATAAGACTCTGTCATAAACATGAGGACTTGCACATGTAATCTCAGCTATCAGGAGGCTGAGGCAGGAGGAGCATGAGTTTAGGCTAACCCCCTCTCTCCCAAAGGAAAGTGTTAATGGGGAAAGAGGCTCAATTAAATGCCTTGTCCTAGATCTCCCAAGCAGCAAAGGGAGTCTCCTTTGGGGTGGGGTTCATATCACACTCCATTCCCAGGAAATATAGCACCCCTAGTTTATGCACACCATAGGGACTCCTCTATGGGTGTCCACCTGGCCTCTGTGGGTGTTCAACTGGCCTTAAGACTTAACAAGCACATCGTGGAGTGAACTCTCATTTCTGTATGTCTGGCACTTTTTCATGATGGGCATCCTATGCAACAGTACGCAGCAACCTTAAACCCCAGAAAGAAGCCAGTGGAAGAGTGGTTCCCAGGCCACCATCTTGACTGCAGTGTCTCAGAAAACAGTATCATCCCTTTCCTCTTCCTTACAGCGGTACGTGGATGGAGGAGTGAGTGACAATGTCCCCCTGCTGGATGCCAAAACCACCATCACAGTGTCCCCTTTCTATGGCGAGCATGACATTTGCCCCAAAGTCAAGTCCACCAACTTCTTCCAGGTGAATGTCACCAACCTCAGTCTCCGCCTCTGTACCAGGAACCTCTACCTTCTGACCAGAGCGCTCTTTCCACCAGATGTGAAGGTGAGTGGGATACTAGGGTGCTACTCTCTGCCTCCCAGGTAGCTGGGGACCTCTGTTAGTCCCTCCATGAGTGAACAGGACTAGATTGTGCCATGATGGTGACTCAGAAAAGTTGCTGTGCTAGAGCTGGTTGGTCATCCCTCTGACCACAGGCTCCACTGGGGATCACATGGATTGACCTAGAGTTCAGACTCCACTTCCAGGAATTGGGATCCAACAAGTCAGGGGTCCGGGATGGTGTCTTAGTTTCTTTTCTTGTGATAAAAAGCTCTGTGACAAGAGCAAGTTTTCTGAAAAGATCTATTCGGGGAAGTCAAGTGGCAGGAACTTAAAGCGGTTGCTCACATCGAGTCCACGATCAGGAAGCAGGGGTATGAATATGTGCTGCCATCCAGCTCCCTCTCCCCACTTACAAAACAGAGGTTGTCAGCCTAGGGAGCGGTGCCATCCACAGTGGGCAGGGCTTCCTACCCCAATTGACTGACACCAGCAGATAAAACTGCCACAGGCATGCTCAGAGGCCCATTTCCTAGGTGACTCTAGATTCTGTAAAGTTGACAATTGGCACTACCTACAGTAAGTTAAGTGGGGTGCTACATACCTGCATTCTAGAACCAAGGAGGCTGAGGCAGGAGGTTGGAAACCTTGGGATCAGTCTGGGCTACCTAAAAAAAAAAGAGGGTTAGGGAGATGGCTTAGTGATTAAGAGCACTGGCTTCTCTTCTAAAGGTCCTGAGTTCAATTCCCAACAACCACATGACAGCTCACAACTGTCTATAATGGGATCTGATGTCCTCTTCTGGCATGCAGGCATACAAGCAGACAGGGCAATCATACATAAAATACATAAATAGCTTCATGTACCCACATTGCTCTCCAAGCATGATGTTCAGTCATGATTGTCCAGAGACAGTTAAGGTGGAAGCACCATATTGGCTAGAGTGATGACTTAGCCCCAGATCATCCTGCCTGGAACACAGCTCCTGCTGGCAGTCTCTGTGGAGAGGACATTGGAGCTGAGATCAGGGGAAGCACAGAGTCTCTCAGGGCCCTCCAAGCCTTGGATGTCCTTGATCCTCAGAGGACATGGCAGTCATGGTCCCTGTGGTTCACCTGCCTGATTTGCTCACAGGTAATGGGAGAGCTGTGCTTTCAAGGGTACCTGGACGCCTTCCGGTTCCTGACAGAGAACGGTAGGTCCTGGCTGGGGCTGTCTGCAGAGTCCCTTGGTTCTGTCACCCATCCTCATGGCCTTACCCACAGTCTCCCTCTGCCCACTTTTCTCTCAGCACTAGGGAACCTTTGCCCATTTTAGAGATGGGATGCAGGCTAGCGAGGAGAGGCCAGCAGAGCAGGGGCAACCGTCCTGAGGCAGAGCTGGGATTTGAACCTAGACAGCCTGACACCACCTCTGCAGGCAGCTTATTTCTTTCCCTTTGAGCTCTTTTGTGAGCCTTTAGCATAATGGGCTCAGGTTTGAGAGAGTTTGGGAGCAGTTTCTAGATGAGGCTATCAGGATGTGGTTCCCAGCCCATTGTGGGTCCCACCCACTGGGTGAGTCTTCTTCCTAGCAGATACCTGTTTTTGAGTCATCCAAGGTGACCATGCTGGACATGTGTATATGTGGTCACACAGTGGAATGACATTTTTCACATTGTGATTATCTTAGTTTATACAAATACATCCCATGCTCACATAGTGAGGAAAGCTGGTCCTTCTTAAAAAACATGTCCCTGTCATAAGCTGCACCTGCCATCTCAGCTACTCAGGAGGCTGAGGCAGGATTACAGTTCATGGCCTACCCTGGTTGCCAAATGAGTTCGAGGTCAGCCTGAGCCACCTAGTGAGACTGTCTTGAGAAGTTTTTTTTTTTTTTTTTTTTTTTTTTCTTTCTTTTTAAGAAAGAAAAAGGCCTGGGCTATAGCTCAATGCCAGTGTGCTTATTGGGCATATAGAAGGCATTGGGTTCAGTCCCCAAGCCCATCAGAAAAAGAAAGGAAGAGAAGGAAATGGGGAAGGAAAACAAGAGGGCTGGTAGAACATTTGCCCAGCATGTGAGGGTTTGAAGCACATCTGTGGAGACAGAGGAGATGGCGCTTTTGTAAGGACAGATGTGTGTTCAGCCACTCAGAAGGCCACAAGGCCATAGCAAGGAGCCTCCGTGGCCTTATGAAGAGGTGGGAAGGGCATGTGGAAGGGCAGTGGTGAACCAATGGGGAGATCTAGGCTTCAGGCTGACTCTTGAGGAATCCTCAAGGTCTGAACAAGGATGTCCTGGAGGATGGGGGCCCTGGATGAATAGGAGAGCTAGGGAGTAGGAGGCAAGGCCTATGGGCCCGGAGATGGTGAATGAAAGTCCATGTGGCCCTAGTGGCACAGGGTGGGGACACTGAAAGATGGACAAAGAGGGCACAGGAAGAGTGACATTGAACTTGGGAGGAGTTTGGATCTGCAGCAACAAGGAGCCACCAAGGGCTCCTAAAGCAAGAGTGAGTGTGGCAAATCAGAGGAGAGCAGCAGGACAGTGAGGGAAACCCATGCCCAGCACTACCAGCAAGCACGCAGCACACATGCATGCCTGCTGGCGGTGTTGGCTACTTTATCCAGAATGCTACTTCATCTTGGGTAGGAGGACATTGATGTTTCCAACTTCAAGATGTTGCTTCTTAGGCTGTTGGCACAGGGATTAGGAGGCTGAGGCAGGCAGAGTTCAATGACAAGGCCAGCCTGAGCTACATAGTGAAACCTTGACTTAAAAGAAAGAAAGAAAAAGCATGAGAGAGGAAGAAAGACAGAGCATGATTTGAGAAGGCTGTGCCAGCCTCTCAGTACTTGGAAGCCATGTGGTAGAAGGGTGTCATCTTGGACACAAGACCCAGCTTAGCCAAGGAATGGCTGTGTGACTTTGAATGATTCTCTGTGCTTGTGATTCCTCAGCTGACAAGTGGCACTGATAATTCTGGTGGCTGTTGAGTGGCCACTGTGCTGTCATTCTGGGCCTGGAATTTGTGCTTAGCCTGTGGGAGAAGAGTTATTTGTTCATTGTAGTGTTTGACTTTGAAGCAGAGAGAATTGCACATAGCCAGAGAGCGAGCAAGTGAGCCAGTGAGTGAGCAGGAACTACACTCCTATCTGCCCGGCTGCTAGTTTTCATATGTCCACCTTAACCCATGCCCTGTGTGGGATTATAGCAGGCATGAAGTTGCTGTGTTGGCTCAACCTCCCCTGCCATCTGGGGCTAAGTGTGGCTGGGCAGATGACAACCGTCTCCCATCTTTGCCCTCATGGGTATATCCATGTTTTTTGTAGGCATCTGTAATGGGCCACAGCCCAACCTGAGTCTGTCCTCAGAGGAGATGGAACCAGAAGCCACGCCTCTCTGTCTGGAAAACAGCAGTCTTATAGGGGACAAGCTACCAGCCAGCCTGTGCCTTACAGCTGTGCCCTGGGATGAAAGCATCCAGAAGACCCTGTCCCCCAAGCTCAGCACAGGTACTACTATACTGGGGTGGGATGAGACCAGGGCATGCCAGTTGATATAAGCAACTGGACTGCTTGCTGTGTGTGAGGCGAAAAGGTGTCACTTCTCCAGCAAGAAGCCTCTGGGGTTATGGGAACAGACCACAAGGACATCTCCAACTATTGTACAAGCTGGCCACTGCCACCCATCCCTGTACCTGGAGGTCATGACCAAGAGGAATGCTGATCCAGTTGAGCCTAGGTTAGTCACACAGGCTCCAGCAGAGCAGCCAGGCCTGGGCTCACCCTGCCAGGCTGCCTCCATACTGGCTCCAGCTCTGATTCCGGCCATGGATATGAGGGAGGACCTGGGGTCCAGTCTCTGTCTCCCAACTCTTCAGAACAACTTTGGAGTTACTGTTATCCACTTGTCCACCTGTCTATCCTTAGCTCTCTCATTTGCCAGTCAGTTTTATACTTCCATGTGATATATTTTATGCCATTGGCTGCTGAATGGACAATGACATGTTATAAATGTTTATGTCCCATCAAAATTCCTGTGCTGACAGCCTAATGTGGTGTTGTCCTTAGGAGGTGAAGACAGGAAGATCAGGAGTTCAAGGCAAGCCTTGACTACATAGTGAGTTCTGAGTCAGCCTGGACCACATGAGATGCTATCTCAAGAACAAAAATGATTCTCATAGAGGAATCCAGATTACCAAGGAGAAGGTGTTGGGAGGCAAGCACTGGGACAACTCCTGAGGGCAGGGCCTTCCACATGAGATTGGGGCTGGAACGAGGGCCAATAAATATCTTCTAGTCCTTCAGCCTGCAGAGGTGCTGTCTATGACCTCACTGGATAGCAGTGTCTGCTGGTGCCTTAACACTTGGCCTTTCAGCATCTAAATCTGTGAAGAGTCAGTAGTTGTTGTTTATAGAAGTTGCCGGGTAACTGTAGCCTGACGGTGATCTGATCTGCCAAGCCAGATAGACTAGTCCACAAACAGCTTCCAACCAGGCCCAGGAGAGACATGAATGGAACCCAGTGTCTGCCCTCCAGGCAGTAGCTGTTCAGTGGGAGGTGTCAGGAGGTCATCAGGGGGATAAAAGGTAAAGCCACAGGAAGAAAGAACTGCTGAGGGGTAGAGTTCAGTCAAGGGTGGCTGGAAAGCTATGTGCACCTCATCTGGAAACATGAGAAAGCCATAGGTCTAAACAATGCCAGCAAAGGGAGGTGGGGGTGGGACTCTCTTCCATTTGCTCTTTTCTCTGTGTAGTCCACACTGGCCTCAAACTTGAAATCCTCCCACTTCAGCTTCCCATGTGCTGGGAATAGAAGCCTGAACAACCAATCTTGGCTAGAGTTTGACCTCTGCGTCACCCTTGTGTGAGAGAGACAGCTCATAAACCCCAGTGTGTTCCATCTGGGCTGCTGCCAGCCCTTTGGCTCCAAACCACCTCTATTTCAAAGCTGGTCTGATTCCCACTGGACAGGGGCTTGAATTCTAGTATTCTCAGGAGCCATACAGATACCTGGTTCCAAATTGCTGTTCTCAGTTCTGAGTGAAGCCATTAAGGACAGGGATGGCTACCTGAGCAAAGTCTGCAACCTCCTGCCCATCAGGATCATGTCGTACATCATGCTGCCCTGCACTCTGCCCGTGGAGCTGGCCATCGCTGCGGTCCACAGGTGAGCATTAGGGAACGGTGTGACAGTTCAGTGAGCTGATAATGGCTGCACCCCAGGCTGGCTTATGTGTCACAAGATGGAAACCCTGGGAGAGACCCCCTTCCTTCAGCCAACGGTATCTGCAACCTGGTATAAGCTCTGAGGCCATCTGGAGACTCGCAGAGCTTAACTAACCCCCTAGTCTAGCCATTCATGATCCCCTGGAGAAACTGAGGCAGGGAGAGGTAGAGGCCACAACTCTGTGGCCACTGAGCTGGTGAGTAGGAAGGGCAGGCCTAGAAGCTAGTCCTTGCTTGTCCCTTGGGTCTGTCTTTAGAATCACAAGCACAAAGTACTGGGGTGAGAGGTCCATTCCCTCTAGCCATGGTTGGATGGGGGTGAGTCAGAGTCAGTAGTTATGAGACAGAAGTGAGGTAGTCCTCAAAATTTGGAATGGGGCTCCTACTCAAACAGCAGTGAGGCAGCAGCTCAGCTCAGTCTTCAGACTGTGATGGCTAACCACCTGGCTGCACCCCCTCCACTGCTGTGTGGCCCTGGACTAATGTACATACCTTTCTGTGCTTCTGCTTACCTTTGAAGAAATAAAACGAGATGAGACTGCCTGGGGCAGAGGATGACCAGGAGGCCCAGTGGGGTCCTGTGTGTGGTGTGTGCTCACATGTCCAGCTAGCAGCAGTGACTTGTTTTCAGGTTGATATCCCTTACCCAAGATGCTCAGGAACAAAGTGTTTGAGTTTGGGTTTGGGTTTGTTGTTGTTGCTTTGGAATTCTGGGTATTTTCATGGGCTTACCAGTTAAGCAAGTTTAAGCAGGTAAGAAAAGAAAAGCAGGAATGTTTTGAGCCCCATGCCAATGCTCAGAATGTTACAGATTCTGATATTGGGTACAGTGGTAAACATTTGTAGTCCTAACACTCTGACCGGAGGAGAAGATCAGGAGTTCAGAACCACCCTGGCCACAGAATTGTTAAACCTAGCTTGGGTTACATATAGAGACCCTGTCTCAAAAACAGAATGTAGCTGGGCACGTAGCTCAGTGGTATTGTGGATAGTTAGCATCCCCAATCCCAGTACCATGAGGAAGGAGGAGAGAGGGAAGAAGGAGGAGAAAGGGAGGGAGGGTGGGGAGGAGAGTTGGGGAGAGAGAGGTATCATGTGGAGGTTCTAGCTGTGCCGTTTTCCTTGGCCCTTGCCTGGTGTCCTTGTCTTGTCTCATCTGGACTGGTGCCCCAGGGACACCACACAGCCCTGACCTTCCATTTCTAGGTATCTGTCTGTCTGTCTGACTCTGTCTCTGTCTCTGTCTCTCTCTCTCTCTCTATATATATATATATATATATATATATATATATATATATATATATATATATATATATATATATTTTTTTTTTTTTTTCCCCAGAGTTTCTCTGTGTAACAGCCCTGGCTGTCCTGGAACTAGCTTTGTAGACCCTGCCTCTGTCTCCTGAGTGCTGGGGTCAAAGGTGTGTGCCACTGTGGCCCAGCTGGGCCCTGTCTCTTTTTCTTGGCCTTCTCACCTGTTTTGCTGAAGCAAATCCTTACAAAGTCCCTAAGGAAACAGTGTTCTGCTGGCCCCCCGGGGCTTCACCCTGCATCTGACTGCTGAGCAGCTGCTCAAAGGCCTGCAGTCACAAAGGCTGTCCTCTGAGACCCAGCCAGGCTTTCATGGGATTGCTCATGCAGAATCCACTTCCACTTTGTTCTCCTCTGTGGCTGAGTGGCTTTTGGTCTTTCTGCTCCTCTTTGGCTAGTCTTTCATTCCACGGACTGTCACTTTCTCAGGCAAAGCCTGTCTCTACTGTGGTTTGAGGACTCAACCATTTGTAAGTATGTCTGTAATTCCTTCTTTTCTGTGGCCATCTCTCCCCTTTTCCTGGGGCACTTTTGAGAGCTTTGCCTCTGGATTGGATTCTGGCCTCTGGAACTTTCTTTTCTACATTTTTCAGATCTTTGACTTTTTGCCTCCAATCTGAAGTTTTCCCAAATTTACCTTCCATTCTGAGTTATTTTTGTTTGTTTTGGTTTTGGTTTTTTTTGAGACAGTGTTTCTCTTTGTAGCTTGGCTGTCCTGCAACTCAGAGATCCACCTGCTTCTGCCTCCCAAAGTACTGGGATTAAAGGTTTGTCACCATTGCCTAGTATTTGCTCTGGTTTTAACATTAGTAGCATAAATGAACTTCTAAACTTTGGCTGGCCCTTTCTTCCTGTTCTTTTATGTGAGTATTCTTTTCTTGGTGTTGGTGTATATGTGTGTGTTGGGAGAGAGTGTGGAAGGGCATGTCTGTGTCTGTGTAAGTAGGAGTGTATGTGGGGGTTGGGGCATCTTTATGTTGGGAATATTTTTACATTTATTTATTGTCTTATGCATTGAGTGTGTGTGTGTGTGTGTGTGTGTGTGTGTGTGCGCGTGTGTGCATTTATTTTGTGAGAGCACTCATGAGGGCTATAGCCTATGAGTGCAGGTCAGAGAATAACTTTCCTAAGTTGATTCTCTCCTTCCATTGTGTGGGTCCTGGAAATCAAACTCAAGGTGTCAGACATGGCCAAAACAATTTTTCTGCCCCATGTGTATGTACTTCTGAGCCATAATTTTAATTCCACAGCCCAAGATGGCCTGGAAGTTACTGGAACTCAAGTCAACCCTCCTGCCTCTCATGAGCATGCAGGTGTCAGGCATGAGTCACCACTCTGCGCCCCCAGCCCACTTGCATTCTTATTTATGGTTACCAGCACAGCTTCCAGGCAGTGACTAATGCTGATCCTACCCACTGCTGCAAGAGAAGGAGGCAGGTCTCCCTGGACAGCTACCTCCCTGTCCTTCCTGCAGGCTTGGCTATGCTGCCAAGTTGTACAGTTTTACGTTTTGGCTGAGGCTACTGAATCTTTTAGCAGGGTCAGCTACTCACAATTGCAGCCCAGTTGCTTAGGAAGCTAAAAAGCCCAGAGGTTGAGGCCAGCCTGGCAAGAGAATGAGACCCTGTGTGAAAAGAAAAATAAATGTAACCCAGGCCTGCCTCTCTGCTTCTTCTCTGTCTGCTCCCTTGGAAACCTGTCACTTGTGTAGGTCTGCTCACACACCGCTGGATAGGACATACAACAAGCTAGAGTCTCGTGCACATGCCCTGCATTTCCATTTTAGCATACTGCACCAGCCTACTTCTAATTTCTCCATCAAAATCCCTGGCAGCTTTACTGAACCAGTGTTCCCCTATGGAGTCAGCCTCCTGCTCCAGGCTGCCTCTTGCCAGAGTCTACAAATCTGTTTGGCCCCTGTGGTACCACCATTAGGTTCACAGTGGCCTCCATGGAGAGCCTAGGCCTCAAGCTGCACTTGCCATCAACCCCTGAGACTGACCCCATTGAGCTAAGGCCTTTCCCATTCACCCCCATGAGGTTTTATGGAACCCTGAGTGGCCTGGTTTGCTTTAAGGATTTTAGAAGGTTCACTGTTGTGAGGACAGCCCATGTCTGCCTTAGGGAACTTACAGATTGGTGTTAGAAATGACACTGAATGAAGGCTACTACTGGGAGATATCTGCTTTTTATCGACTTTTCTCCTGATTTATCTTCAGGTAGATACAGTGAACCCATGTGTGTGTGTGATATGTGTGCATGTGTGTTTCTATGTGTGTTTCTTGGCTTCTTTCCTGCAGGTTGGTGATATGGCTCCCTGACATCCCTGATGATATCCAATGGCTACAGTGGGCAACATCCCAAGTTTATGCCCGAATGACAATGTGTCTGCTCCCCTCTACCAGGTAAATAATTTGGCCCAGGGTATGTGGGCCATGTGGGCATCTCTGTTGTTCCCAGAACTTGGGTCATGACAGCCCTAACAAGCCAGGCTCAGCCACCTGTCCACAACAGGGCAATCAAAGTAACAATGAAAAGCAGAGAAAAGAGACAGACATATCCACAAATAGAAAGGTTCGGGGACACCCCCTCCCAGTTAACCTTTGGGGGTACTGACGGAGACTAACTTTAAATAGAAGTATGCTAAGCAGTCCTAGTCATAGTGTGGTCCTGCCCACTGTTTTCTGGGATCCAGGATCTCCAAGATACTTGCCATCTCTCCTCAGCATGAGACTACTAGGGAAATCCCAATTCCTTGACCTCCATTGTTTCAAAGATCAGAGAGCCTAAGGGAGGGGCACAGCTGTTTCTTCAGAATGCTTTCTCTCCTGCCAGAACCACAAGGTTTGTGCTCGTCACATGTTACATTCTAGGAACATCTAACTCAGTGTCAAGCCAGTGACAAGGAGTTTGCCCTTTTGTTCAGGGTGCATCCTGAGGAAGGCCCTGAGTCCACCAGATACCCCAGGACATCTGCTGCCCTGGGGATCCTTCACCTGGGCTGTGAAGGGAGAGTAATGACAGGATAGAGACAAAAGAGGAGGAGCTGTGGGCTGGGACAGAGGAGATCAGGGTACTGAGCAGCATTGGTGTGCCTGTGGACAGGAACCCTGGGCAGCCTGGAAGGGGGCAGTCCCAGTGATTTCTGGGAAGTGGGTCCAGAAGGGGGTAGGGCACCTTGATGGTACAGCGTGCTCCCGTGGAGGAAGCCTACATTCCTATGAGGACCTGGGAGCCTTGGGAAGGCCTTCCAACCTGGCTCCCTTCTTTCTATTCAGATCCCGAGCACACAAGAGTGACCACCAAGCACCCAAGAGTGAACATCACTCGTTGCTACACAAACCCCAGTGTGGTGCTGCTGGCTTGTAAACTGCTGGTCTCCCTGCTTCCTGTGAACTTGGACATGATCCATGTGGATGGTCCAGTGGGGGCCAAAGCTGAGGCTACCCTGCCTTCCGCCCCAAGCCCAGCTTGACCTTCAGCTGGTGCAAATGTGTGAATGGTGGGTGGGCAGGGGTGCTATAGTCTGTTTTGCAGTGGGAAGGGTTCTGTTAACTTTTGGTGGCATCTAGGAAATTACTGCCCAGGAGCTGAGCCTCCTGTCTCTGCAGCTGCCCCTGGATACTGTGGTGACCTCATGCCTGTGGCCCCAGGATCACAGGTTCTGGGCTAAACTGGTGGTTTATAAAAACCAAAGACAAGGATTTCACCTTTAGAAAGTTGTTTGGTCTGGGTGAAGCCTAGTGCTTGAGAGCTAACCCAGAGAGGAGGTGCCACTGTCTCTCAGCCTGTGAGTGGTTGGGGATGCCAAGGGTAGCAGTGTTTGGAAACAGGAATCGATCTCATAGGGAAAATTGTTGGGGAAGTGTGATGAGATGGGGTGTGGCTGTCCCTGAGAAGAGCCTGCCAGCCGAGGGTAATACAAGACAACTTACTACTCAAGGACACCATTGGTTCTTACTAAAATAGTTTATAAAGAATTTTATATAAACACACCAGAGAATGCATAGTGAGCTACCTGTATGATATTTGAGTTGTGAATAGATTTAACCTTAAAATAAAATCTCTTGTATGTGGGGGCAAAACAACACAGTTAGGAAGCACAATGGACTTCTGCCTCTTCACCCTCAGCTTGAACCTGGCTTGTTTTCTCCACTGTCTCCAAATCTTTGTACTGTCATCAACCGTCACTGCCTCTCTCTGTCCCCTTCTTCTCCACTGGCCTTAATGGGGATAAGCATCTACTTTCTTAGGCGTATATCTACAGCTGCAGGGGTGACATGTGTCTCCTGAAATTTACACATGAGATTAGAACACAAAGAAAAGCTCAAAATAAGGACCTGCTGTTACATCTGAGCACTGGTGGTGAGGTACATTTTCCTGTGTCTGAGTCTCCTAGAGTCCTACTGAACTCGCAGTTCACACAGCACTTCAGGAGGAATCATCACACCCTAGTGCACACAATCTCAGCAGGGTTGATCCTGATTGGATAGGAGACCACTCTGGGGGAGAGAATATGGCTCCAGAGATAAAACTTCTCAGCTACACAGAAGACTGTCTCGTGGAAAGAAAACAAACCAGGAGAGAGAGAGAGAGAGAGAGAGAGAGAGAGAGAGAGAGAGAGAGAGAGAGAGAATGATTCAATTGATAGAGTGCTTGAACAGCATGCATAAAGCCTTGAATTCAGTCTCAGCATCACATAAACTGTGGTGTGACTGGCAAACATAAATCCCAGCACTCAAGCTGTAGAGCAAGAGGATCAGAAGTCCAGGGTCATCCTTGGCTAAATGAGACTCTGTCTCAAAAAGGCAAAAACAAACAAAAAGTGGTAGAAGCTTCTTTTTTGTTCTTGTTGTTGTTGTTTGTTTGTTTGTTTGTTTTGGGACAGGGTTTCTCTATGGCTTTGGAGCCTGTCCTGGAACTCGCACTGTAGATCAGGCTGGCATTGAACTCACAGACTTCGAGTGCTGGGATAAAGGCATGTGCCACCACCACCCAGATGTTTTGAGCTGCCCATTTCTGGAAGTTTCTCATCAGTAGAGAATATCAAATAAAATTTCTGCTGGTTCAGAGCCCTAAGCTGTCAGGAACACCGGTAGTGGAAAAGTTACCATCGGGGAGCAAGGTCTTGACCTGCTAAGCATGTAGTAAAGCTGGTTCACTTATTTAAAAAAAAAAAAAAAAAAGTGTGTGTGTGTATCTATTTAGGTATGTCCTCAGAAGGATTGAATGGATACACCAAAAATACCCACAACTGCTAAGGGAAAAGGATGTATAATAAATGTGAAAAGAAAACAATAAACATGATTTTTAAAACACACTTTCAGTCTCTTTTGCCTCTCTCTTCTTACAGTCAAAAGGGCTTATGGTACAGCTTTCTCTTTAGGTGTATCCTCTCCCCTAGGCCTGCATGCTAGATGTCCTCCACATTGCAGAATAAATGACTGGGTTGTTGCTATATAATCCAGGCTGGTCTGGAACTATGCAGCGCAGGCTCACCTGGAACTCTCCATTCTCCTGCTATAGACTTCCCCGTGCCATCACGTTCACACACACCACCACACGAGCCTAGAGTGTGCATTTTTAGTAACCACTGGGAAAGGACAATGGTGTGGTCTCCAGAACACACTAAGGGAAACTGGAAAGCAAACACTGGTGACAAAGGGCTGGGTGGGTTTGAATCTCTTAGGCCACAGGTGAAGCTAGTGTGGACAGCCTTGAAAACTGTCTGAGCACTCCCAGGTGATACAGCCAGGAAGAGCCTCCAACAGAGGGACAGCCTGAACAAAAACTTGGATCATGGGCAAAGTACTCAAGATTGAGTCACTCTCTATTTACCTCAATGTAATGATGATATCGTTGTTATTCACTGAGGGAGACTCTGTTCTAGGCTCTAAGAATAAGGGAGTAGGGGAGTGATAGTTTCTGGGTGAAGAATTACAGTTCCCAGCTTCCCTTGTGGCTAGGAATTTCCACCTCTATAAGGGGCTGCATCCTATCTCCCCCAGCATCCCATCTCCCCACAGTAGCCATTTTGTCCATCCAAATGTGGGAACAAAATTACTCCCTCATCATGCATAAACATGGTCCTGACTAAGGTCAAACCAAGCCCCTCTTTCTGCCTGTCTACAGCTGCTTTTTTGTTTTGTTTCTGTTTTTTGTCGTTGAGACAGGATTTCTCTGTGTAGCTCTGGCTGTCCTGAAGCTCACTCTGTAGCCCAGGCTGGTTCAGAACTCAGATTTACCTGCCTCTCCCTCCTGAGCACCGTGATTAAATGTGTAGGCCATTACTGCCTGGCTTACAGCTGTTTTGTGTTGTTCTTGTTGTTTTGAGACAGGGTTTCTCTGTTTAACAGCCCTGCCTGTCCTGGAGCTTGCTCTGTAGACAAGGCTGGCCTCAAACTCAGATTTCCACATGGCCACCTTGTAGCTGTTATTTTAATAATCTAACAGGGGGAAGACATGTGAGGGTTAAAGTTATGTTTTGAATTTAAATCACTGTGCTTAAGAGATCTATAAAACAAAAATGCCTCTAAACTTTAAGCCCCACTTGCCCAAGGATAGATAACTTCCTGGAATTCTAGGGGGCTATTGTCCATATAAGATAACAAGCCACATGTTTTCACTTCTGTAAACAAGCTTAGCTGCTTTATCTGAACAGGATGTGTTGACCACCTGTACGCAGGTGACAGCTATGTAGTCAGGAAGTTTGTCAGGATGTATGCTTGTCCCCTACTGGACAAAAGCAGTTTTGCCTTTATAAGCCTCTGATTAATCCAACTGGTACCATAGTCTGGGAATACTGTGTATGGACCTGGCCAGTGTCTATAGTCCTGGTCAGTATTTAATAAAGCTTGCTTCAGCTTCGGCTCAAAACCTGTGGTAGTAGTCTTATTCTCATGTGGTAGAGTTTACATACATTGTATATGAATGATAGAATGACCCTGGGTCCCCAGGTTTTTTGTTTGCTTGAGACAGGGTCTCTCTCTGTAGCTCTGACTGTCCTGGAACTCTCTATGTAGACCAGGCTGGCATCACCCAGTCCTGTTTTGAAATCGTCTTTGGGAAAGAAAGCAGATGAACACTGCCATTGTATACCCTGGTTTGGGTTAGGACAGGAACTCAGCAAATACTTATGAGTTCCTGTGTAATGCCTAGCTCAGGTTCACGAGGATCTGAGAACTGGGCCGACCCAGTACTGGGAAGGTAGATGGATAGGCCAAGGTAGGAAGGCAATGGCAGGGACAGGGCAGCTGCTGGGCTGCTGGAAGTTTTTGCCTCTTTCTGGACAAGAAGGATGTGGACTTTGAAGGCTTGGTTGCCAGAGGGGTGGTATTTAAATAGAAACAAGTACAGGGGTCTCTTGAAGGGAGAAGTGTGGAAAAGGAAGCTAGGTTTCCATAGTGAGGAGCTGACTGCATGCAGGTCAGAGGAAAGGAATTCCACCCTGCCTCTAGTGAACTGCAGTTCACAGCTATGAGTGGCTTCTATTACACTGCTCTGTAGAAACAGCAGAGTAATAGTTCCTGATACCAAAACACAAGCTCAAAGCTGTCTGATGTGACTGCTCTCACCTAATGGGCTCCACTCATCTTTTCAAAAATATGAATCTGGGGGCAGGAGAGATGGTTCAGAGGTTAAGAGCACTGACTGTTCTTCCAGAGTCCCGAGTTCAATTCCCAGCAACCACATGGAGGCTCACAACCACCTAGAATGGGATCTCATCTCTACTGGTGTGCAGGAGATACATGCAGACAGAACACTGTATACAAAATAAATAAATAGATTAAAAAAAAAAAAAAAAAGAATCTGGCCGGGAAGTGGTGACGAATGCCTTTAGTCCCACCACTCCAGAGGCAGAGAAAAGTGGATCTCTGAGTTCAAGACCAGCCTGGTCTACAAAGCAATATCCAGGACACAGCTACACAAGAAAACCTGTCAATAAATAAATAAAAATAAAAAAATTCCGGGGGAAGGGATGATGTAAGTATGTTTTAATTGAAAGATAAAATAAAAGCAAACAAATGTTTCTGGGGAGTCTGTGATCTTTATTGACTCTGAATTTCATTTTACGTGTGGACATCAGACAACTTCTAGGAGTTAGTCTGCTCCTTCCACCATGTGGAGTCTGAGGGAATTTAAGCTCTCAGGTTTGGCGGCAAGTGCCTTTACCACTGGGGAGACGACCCCAAGCCCCACACTCACCCTTCTTACTAGATCCGGGCGAACGTGTTATGGTTTGGACTCAAGCTAAGTTCCACGCCCTGTTCCAGGAGCGTACACTCGTCTCTAAGGACTACACCGATGCAAAACACCAGGGAATGAGGGCCAGGCTTTGGTGCCCAAGAGGGGCTCAGCGCCATATCCTTCCCGTGGATCAGCTCTGGGAGACGAACAGCTTTCCGGGCGTTACTACAGGCTCTACGGCAGCACTGGGCTTCCCGGCGTTCTTGAGAACAACATCCGGGTCACTGTCTCATATGGCCCAATGAGCGGAGGCCCTTGAGCCCGGGGGGCGGAACCTAGGCTGTGCGACTTGGCGATGATCGGCGTACAGCTTCCGTGACCTGTAGCCGCGCGTCTGTGCCTGAGTCTGAGCTAGGCTGGGTGCGGGCACCTCCGCGGGGGAGCAGCCGGAGAGGGAGCCATGGGGACAGTGCACGCCCGGGTGAGAGGCCCCGCGGCGGCCCGGGGGTGGGGCACACGCGCACCTCCCGGGGCAAGGGCAGCGGGAAGGGTGCGGGAATCGCTTGGGCCTGCGACTGCAGCGGTCCTGAGGACGGTGGTGACTTATCCAAGGTCACTCAGCGGAATTTCCCTGGTGACCTCACAGCACCGGTCTCTATAGGACCGCGGCGGGGAAGAAGGGTTTGTCAGAAGACAAGACGCGAGCAAGTTATTTAACAGACTTGTTAAATTTTCAGTCATTATTTGCAGGCGTGCTCATGTGTGTCTGTGCACTTTGTGTGCAGAGCCTACGGAGAACGGAAGGGGGCGATGGAGCCCCTGAAGTTGTAGTTACATTACAAGGGTGCCAGGAACCACTTGGTCCTCTCCAAGATGCTAGCCATCTCTCTAGCCCAATGCTCTTGCTTTAAAAGAAAAAAAAAATGCGTTTATTTATTTGTTTTGTTTGTTTTTTGTGTGTCCATGGGGAAGTCAAAAGACAACTTGCTACAGTTTTCTTTCCATCATGTGGAGTCTGGGGAATCGAACAGTCATCAGGCCCCAGGGGCAATCTCCTGTACCTACTGAGCCCTCGATACTCTTGAATTAGCTTTTAAGTTGCCACCTGGAATTGGGCTGCATCTTGTTCTGTAGAAGAGAATGAGCTCTATTTCTCCTGAGTGGGCAGAGCAAAGAGAAGAGACTTGTCCTGTCACATCATTTCCTCATTCCCTGTTTGTTTCTACCTTTGTAACCCAGGATGGCCTCACATTAGCAGCCCTGGCTCGGCCTCTGAGGACTGGGATTACAGGCATGTGTTGGTATGCTTGGTTCACTTACTGCCTTTGAAGTGGATTTTTGAGGTTTTTGCCTGTTCTCTTCCTCATGTCTCCTAAGGTCTGATGGACAAGTTAGTTTTTGCATAGTGACAAAACTTCTTCATGACCAACTCAATTTATTTATTTACTTATTTATTTTTATGGTGGTCTTCTGGGCTCAGTGCAGTACCTTAGTTCCAGCCAACAGCCTATAATAGTGTTACTGAATTAAGTAGTTGGCTACTTACCGACAAACTTTCATTTTGTAATTGTTCACAAAGGTCAGAGAATGAGTCTGCTCTCCAGAGTCACAGAGCCTCAAAATGTCCTAAAATGAAGAGTACCACGTAGTGTCAACAGCATCACTTGCCCTGTGACTCATTTTCTCGTAGTGTCCCTTTTCTTCCAATAGCACTTAGTCTAAGGCCTCCAGACTTGGGCACACCACACGCACACGGCTGTTTCACACACCATTGCACTTAAGATACACTCTTTGAACTGTGCTATTGCCCTGGGCTTATTCCCTATCCTATGGGTCACATCCACACCCTGCCTTACCTACCAAAATAGTCAGATCTTTTAGAACTTAGTTCATATTACTTTTCCAGTACTCTCTTGAATACTGCAGGAATCTATTAGACAAGATCCTCCTCAGCACTGCAGGTATCTTCAGGCAAGCACTCACTGAACTATATCTGTAGATTGAGCTCTTCAAATATTTTAAAATTCCAAGATAGCTTTTCACTAGCTCAGGGCCTACCTTGAGCTCACACTCTAGATCAGGCTGGCCTTGAACTTGGAATCCTTCATACTTTTGAGTAGCTGGGATTACTGATCTATTTGCCAGATGTGGTGGTGCATGCCCTTAACCTCAGCACTAAGGAAGCAGAGGCAGTTAGATATGTTTGAGCCCAGCCCTATCTTAATGAGTTTTAGGACACTCAGGGCTACATAGTGACAACCTGCCTAAAACCAAAACCAAACCAAACCAAAACAAAACAAAACAAAAAAAAAAACCAAAAACCAAAACAAACAAAAAAATGTAGTGAATAAATCTCTATTAGAAAACAGGTTCTGAAGGACACCAAGCTTTGGCAGAAGTATGAATCACAGTGACAACCTATTTTAGCATCTTCCCTCCAGATATGGGACTAGTGGTCTCTGAATGAATTTTTCCCATGCTTTGACATTTTAGGAACCATATTGGAACTTTTTAGAATAATGGAATGCAAACACTGCCCCAACTGTTAGATTAAGAATGGGTCCATGTATACATTCCTGCTTTGCCTAATAGTCTTTTCATACTTATGAGAAGTTAATCGTGATTTAGTTTTAAAAACACTAACAACAACAACAACAACAACAAAAAAACGGTGGATAATGACATGAAATGATATATTCTTTGTCATCCTTGGTAAGTACCCCAGGCTGCATGAGTGCTGTAGTTATAGGCACATATATGCTTTTCTTTTTTCCCTTCACCATTGATACTTAGTGGTTTTGTTAAGTAAAAGAACAAAAGAAAATTATATTTAGTCAGTATCCTGTGAGTAGGAATTGAGTACAAAAAACAGGAAGCCTGTCTGAAGTCACAAATATCTAGCATTAAGCAGGCGTGGTGGCTGTAAGTCAGGGAACTTGGGAGTTGGAAGCAGGAGGATCAGAAGTTCAAGACTCTTCTTGGCTATTTGAGGCCATCCCTGGATATGTGAGACCTTGATCCTGACCCTGCGCCCAGGCCAACAAAACACACACACATACAGAATGGCTCAGAGGCAATATTTAATCTGGCATGGTGGCCCAGAATTCAAAAAGGTAGAGGTAGGAGAATTATAGTAATTCAAGGTCTGAGTTCCTGTCTTAGTACCTTACCTCCTCCAAAAATAGAAGACATTTAAGATGGATCTTCAGATTATTCAGGGAGCCTGTGTCAAAAGGCCGCTAAGTACTTCAGAAGGGAATGGCATTCCCAAAGTCTCCTTGCTTTGCAGTCGCCAGCACTTGTGTGCACTGTAGAGGGGCATACAGTGAGGAAGTAGCCACATACTGCCTGTCCTTGACGTCCCCTGAATTGCCACTCTTGAGTTTACTTCAGGCATACCTGGCTTTCTCTGCCATTAAGTGTCCCAGTAACTTAGGTGTTCACTACAGGAGCCAATTGATGACTGAAAAGCACCTGATTACATGTTCCATGCACACACGGATAAAACATTGTACTATGTATATGTAATTGTGTTTTCCAGTAGTCCCAGCCAGGCTCACCTAGCCCTCACCCCCAGAAAGCATTAAGAAATTACTGTTGTGATATTTTTTAGTCTTAGCCTCCTGGTGCTGAGATTATGAAGGTGAGGGTGTAAAGATTTTACTAGACCCAAGATAAATGATAAATGGGTGTTTATTGGGGAACACTTAAATAGATCATAACAAAGAACCACAGGAACGCTTCTCTGCCTTTCCTATCAGATCGGATCATCTGATTGGCTGACCCAAGAGAGTCTACCTAAGCTGCCTCACGCTCCCCTCTTTCTGCCTCCATCTGCCTGAAGCCACGCCCAAAAGGGTGCGGCCACTGTTACAGGTTCAATGGCAAGAAGCCACTACAGGATTACAGCCATGTGCCACCATAGCTTGCTTTGTGGTGTTTTGAGGTGGTGACAGTTCATATTGTCACTTGGAAACAGGGACAGGTTCAAGAGGAATTTCAAGGGAACCTTGGCTGCAGTGTTTTTGTGAAGAGACCCTGTCTCAGAAAACTAAAGAAAAAAACAAGTTCAGAAGGTTCAAAAATATAGCTTGGTGGTGTAGAGCATGTGGCCAGCATGTGTAAAGGTCTAGGTTCAGTCCCCAGTGCCACACAACTCAGGTTGTATAAAGTGCTTCCTTTCTGGCCCATTGATGAGCAATTATTATTTTTTTTTAATCTTTGCTTTACTCACTATTAACCCAGTGAACATGCTTATTAAGCACTGCCTCCTGGGACCTGCACCTGCATGTCAGCTTATACTCCCTTCCCTTCTGTTTCCTGTCCTGCCTCCCCTCTTCCACCCCTGCCCCACACACCCAAGGGAACAGTTGTGCTGGATTTTGTGGCACCATCTGAAGCCAAAAGTTGGAGAGGCTTGGCTTGTTTTCATTTGTTAAGTTCCATTGTCTTGGATTCCTTCATCCCTTGCAGAGTCTGGAGCCTCTTCCGTCGAGTGGGCCTGACTTCGGAGCTTTGGGAGAAGAAGCTGAGTTTGTGGAAGTTGAACCTGAGGCGAAACAGGAAATTCTGGAAAACAAAGATGTGAGTATTCTGTGGGATATTTTGATGTGATTGTTTTTGTAATGTTTTCTTGGTAAGCCCCTATGGAGAAGGAAAGGAACTCTGTTACCTGTTACCTGTTTCAAGTAGAGAGACTTGTTTTTCAAGTTTTCCTGGTTGACAGTTGGTATGGCTGGTTTAGGCAAACACGATTTCTTTTTACTGAAAAAACTAAAACCAAACTCATTTTTCAAGGTTGGAAAGATGGCTTAGTGGTTCCCATTACCCATATGGTGGCTTAAAACCATCTGTAACTCTGGCTCTAAATTTTAGAGTCTAGAAGATCTGATGGCCTCTTCTGGCCTTCACAGGCATTGAACACATGTAATACAAAGTAATGCATGAGGTAAATACTCAAACACAAAATAATTTTTTTAAAGTTTTTCAAAGATAGACTCCAATTATGCTTAAGTCTATATATATGCATATATTTTTGGTGGCACTGGGGATTGAATCCAGAACCTCTTGAACACCTTGCATCCTTTTTATTTGGGCTTTGGTTTTTGGTTTTTGAGACAGGATTTCTCTGTGTAGCCCTGGCTGTCTTGAAACTAGCTCTGCAGACCAGGTTGTCCTCTAACTCACAGAAGTCTGCCTGCCTCTGCCTCCTGAGTCCTGGGATTAAAGACGTTCACCACTACACCTGGCAACCTCTTGAATTCCAGACAGGTGCTCCACCACAGACAGTCCCAGTCCTTGAATTTATATTTCTGTTCCTTTCTCCCAGAAGAGTCAGTACTCTTACTTTTTCTCATTTATTTATTTATTTGTTTGGTTATTTGTTTATTGGTTTTTTGAGATAGAGTTTCTCTGTATAGCATTGGAGCCTGTTCTGGAATTTACTCTGTAGACCAGGCTATCCTCGAACTTGCATAGATCTGCTGGCCTCTGCCTGGAGAGTGCTGGGATTAAAGGTGTGTGCCACCACTGCCTGGCTCCAATTTGTTTATTTTTATTGTATGGGCATTGGCATTTTGCCTACATGTATATTTGTGTGAAGATGTTAAATCTTGGAGTTACAGGGAGTTGTGAGCTGCCAGGTGGCTCCTGGGAACTGAACCCAGGTCCTCTGAGAGAGCAGCCAATGCTCTTGACCACTAAGCCATCTCTCCAGCCCTCAAGGATCATTCTTTACCTGCTTTGTGACATGGCTGAAGGATCTCCATCCTACATCAGAGGCTGGGTGTGGCCATGTAAGAGGGTTGGGTCTCTCTGCTTATAAGTGTGCAAGGTCTTGTGTTCTCTGGCTAGAGAGGCCAGAACTCATTCGTGGTACAGACCTGGCAAAGACTAGATCTTAAAATAAAATAAAAATAGCTTAGAGGTCAAGAGCGTTGCACTTCCAGAAGACTTGGGTTCAATTCCCAGCACTTAAATGGCAGGTTATAACCATCTATAACTCCAGTTCCAGGCAGTCTGATGCTGCCTTCTGTCTTATACAGGCACCAGCCACTCAGATGCTGTGCAGACATACATGTAAGCAAACACGCATAACATAAAATTAAAAAAGAAGAGCTGAGTGGTTGTGGTGCATGCCTTTAATCCCAGCATTTGGGAGGCAGAGGCAGGTGGATCTCAGTGAGTTCTAGGCCAGCCTGGTCTACAGAGGGAGTTCTAGGACCTGCTCCAAAGTTACACAGAGAAACCCTGTCTCAGGAAAAAAAAAAATGAAATTAAGAAAAAAATGAAATTGGGAGTAAGAAATCCAGGTTATTACACTTTAAAAGACCTTGCCCTTTGTCTTAGACCCTGCCTCTGGCTTCACTTCTGTGCTGAGGGTGGTGACCTCTGCCCTCTTTTCACATTTAGGTGGTGGTGCAGCATGTTCATTTTGATGGACTTGGGCGGACTAAGGATGACATCATCATATGTGAAATTGGAGATGTTTTTAAGGCTAAAAACCTCATTGAGGTAAGTTTGTTCTGTGTGGCACTCTGCCTGAAACTTCTGAAAAGTCTGAAACTACCCCCAGCTCTGGCCCCAGCCTCTTATCACAGAGGGACCCAAGCCTGCAGAGCACCTCCCACAGCTCTCATAAGCTTCTGCTTTTGTACCTCTGTTCATCCTGAGGAAGAATGAGTCTGTCCTATCTGCTCCATCTGCCCTGTACACTTCCTGACCCTCAGCATCAGAGCTGTTCCCAGGTCCTGCTGAGTGCCCTGGGGTCCTCTTGGGATACCCACTGCACATTACTTTGGCCCTTGGGATCCTCCAGGATACCCACTGCATATCACTTTGGCCCTTGAGATCCTCCAGGATACCCACTGCACATCACTCAGACCCTTGGGATCCTCCTAGGATACCCACTGCATACCACTAAGGCACTTAGGATCCTCCTAGGATACCCACTGCATACCACTAAGGCACTTAGGATCCTCAGGGATACCCACTGCATACCACTAAGGCACTTAGGATCCTCAGGGATACCCACTGCACATCACTCAGGCCCTGGGATCCTCTGGGAATAACCACTGCATACCACTCAGGCCCTTGTCTGTTTCACAGACTCTTTCCAGTGCTATAGTAGGAAGTTGCTTGTGGCTTCCTTCTGTCCTGCTCTTGGACAACACTGACATGCCTCACAGAGGTCATCAGTGGTATCCTTATGGCCAGGTTGACTAGCTCCTCTCTGCCTTCTCTTGCTAACCATGAGCAGTGTCAGCAAAACAACAACCAAAAGTTTGTGTTTTAAAGACAGTTACATAGAGAGTTAATGTCACAGGTGGAGAGCATATTGGTGTGATTGTACACACCACCTTGCCACTGCTTGACAATTCTCAGAGGCCAGGTCAGGTTCCACCATGTCCTTCCAAGTGTGTCCTTCACTAGGATGAACCCAGGTGGCAGGGAGCACTAACTTTTTTTGCCATTGTGAGGATAGTCCTTTCTATGTGTCTGGGAAGCCTCACTGCAAACACTTTTATCATTGCTGTGTCTCTGTTGGTGGACATTAACTAAACTGAATGCTTGGCTCTCATGATGGGTGTGCATTCAGCATCTTACTGTTGTGTCATAGCATGCACAGGACAAGTAGGGTTACTAGGTCAAAGGGCACATGGCTCTGTCACTTCAAGGGTCAGCATATTGGTCTTCAAGGAGAGTCACCATTCCATACCCCTTCAGGGTCACACTCTAAGGTCTTATCCAGTAGACACAGTGCTATTTCATTATCTTGATTTCTTGATTTATTTATTTATTTGTTTATTTGTTTATTTATTTATTTCCGTCCATACATCCATACATCCATACATCCATACATCCATACATCCATACATCCCTGGAATCAAACTAGGGTTTTGTAGCAAACACTAACTCACTGAGCCATCTCAACAGCCCCCAGATACTTCTTTTTTAAAATTTTGCTGTTTATATCTCTCTGTTTTGTTTTCCTTTTTGTTTGTTTGTTTGTTTAGATAACATCTCACTATGTAACTTGGGCTGGCCTCCATCTTTAGCTCTTGCAACCTTAGCCTCTGAGTGCTGGGATTACAGATATGTGCTTGGGTTCTCACTAGGGAGCACCTGTTTTCCTATGGTTCTCAGCCTTTGTTCATTCACAGGAGCTCTTTTGTCACCTTATCACCAGTGTTGAATGTTTTTCTTATTGGTTATCATTTTTCCCTCTTATCCTTGGCCTTTTTGTGTCTAGTACTCACTCTGCTGGCTGATTTCTGTGCCTGGTACTCACTCTGCTGGCTGATTTCTGTGCCTGGTACTCACTCTGCTGGCTGATTTCTGTGCCTGGTACTCACTCTGCTGGCTGATTTCTGTGCCTGGTACTCACTCTGCTGGCTGATTTCTGTGCCTGGTACTCACTCTGCTGGCTGATTTCTGTGCCTGGTACTCACTCTGCTGGCTGATTTCTGTGCCTGGTACTCACTCTGCTGGCTGATTTCTGTGCCTGGTACTCACTCTGCTGGCTGATTTCTGTGCCTGGTACTCACTCTGCTGGCTGATTTCTGTGCCTGGTACTCACTCTGCTGGCTGATTTCTGTGCCTGGTACTCACTCTGCTGGCTGATTTCTGTGCCTGGTACTCACTCTGCTGGCTGATTTCTGTGCCTGGTACTCACTCTCCTGGCTGATTTCCTTCTCAGTTCTGTTCATTACAGCTCCGTTGTCTGTCAGCTTTTCCCCGTGTCCATCCCCAGGGTGTTGCTTCCACATGTTCTGGTTCTGCTCAATGTTCAAGGAACCCCAAGCTTGTTCCCCTCTGCTGAGCCCCAACTGTTCTCCTGCCCACTACACTGTTCTGTATGGAATTTCAGACATTTCTTGCTCCTGCACCTCTCAGTGCATATGCTCGCAGTGTTCCTATATCTTAGGAGAGCCCATTCTCTGTTGTCTGTCCCTGTCCCAGGTAATGCGGAGATCACATGAAGCCCGTGAAAAACTGCTTCGCCTAGGAATTTTTAGGCAAGTGGATGTTTTGATCGACACATGTCATGGTAGGTACCATGGGAGAGCATCTTTCTGATGCCACCATGTAGCTCCAGGGTCACAGAACAGCCATGTGATTGGATGCAGAATGCACCCAAAGGTTTGTTAGGCAGTTAAGTGCCTCTAAAGAGACACCTTTGGGTTTCATCACAGCAGATGAGTGAGTGGGGCCAGGGATCTAATCTGTGGTAAAGCTCAGACCCACAGTTGGGAGATGGGAGCACCTGGGGATACTGGTGAGGGTTCAGATACATTTCACTTATGAAATGGAGGTTTTGAGCCTTTTAGGTAACTTGTCTCTGGCCCAATAAAGGCCTGTCCCACCTTCCCAGGGTCAGTTCAGTGCCCATTTGTTGGCATGAGGCTTCAACTCTCTCCAGTCCCTGATGAACATGGCCTTGCACTGATCAGCTGTCCTCTCTGGCTGTAACTTCAGCTCTTTACCCTGGCTGCATGATAGAATTACCCAGCAAAGGCTGGCTTAGGGCATTATAAACCTGTTATTATGCGCAAGTCACACTATATGTCACTGACCTTGCTGTGAATTGTGGGCTTGACAGTTGTGACAAGTGAGCCTTGTGAATGTGAAGTGTTAATAGTGGGGCATGTGTCAACGTGGCAAGGGTTGATGGGAACTCTGCTTTTGTTCTGTCTCGCAACAAAAGCACCCTGAAAAGTGAAATCTTCTGAGAGAGAGAAATAATAGAGGGTTTGGTGTGTTGGCATACACCTTCAGTCCCAGTGCTCAGAAGGCAGAGATTGGTGGTTCTCTGTGAGTTCAAGGCCAGGTTGGTCTACTTGGTAAATGCTAGGCCAACTAGGACTGCATTGACCCTGTCTCAACAGTAAAATGTAAATAAATAAAAATAAAAACCAGAACAGTGCCAAAATTCCACCCTATCCCTCCTTCCCCAGCCTATGGAGACCATGTGGACATCTCCATTCCTGATGGCTGGTCAGGTGTCTAGCAGAAACACCCAGCGATTGCCCTGTGTGGAAGGCAAGAGCCGCCTCCTCCTCCTCTGAGATCCCAGCCCTTCAGGGTTTGACCTCATTCTGCAGAGTACCCTATGCCTTGGTGGGTTGTGAAGTAGAAACCTCCAGTCCAGAGGTTACTAAAATCTTTACTGTCATATGAATCCCATGCTTTGTTGTTGGTTGAATGGGACTCAATTTTCTTTTTTTTTTTTTTATTTTGAGACAAGGTTTCTCTGTGTAGTCCTGTCTGTTCTGGAACTCACTCTGTAGACCAGGCTGGCCTTGAACTCATTGAAATCCATCTGCTTCTGCCTCCCAAGTGCTGGGATTAAAGGTGTGTGGCCTCACAGCCTGGCTGGGACTCAACATTTTCAAAGGCCTCCCTAGGGTGGGCACATTCCCAGCTGGGGCTGTATCCAGAACAGAGAGCAGGGTTCAGTGTTGGTGTAGAGGTGTTTTGGTTTGTATGTGTGTATGTATGTGTGCACATACATGTATGTGTGTGAGCATATGTGGCAGTCAGAGGACAATTTATAGGAGTCAGCTCTTTTCCTTCATCATGTGGTCCTGAAACCAAACCCAGGTTGGCAGGGTGGTAAGTAAGTGCCTTTACTCACCAAGCCATGCTGACCCCTTTAAATATTTACTTCTTTAGGTGATGATGCACTGCCAAATGGATTAGATGTCACTTTTGAAGTGACAGAACTAAGGAGGCTGACGGGCAGTTACAACACCATGGTTGGAAACAATGAAGGCAGTATGGTAGGGCATGACTTTCATCGTTGTTTAGAGTTCTTTTGAGTGTAAGCGTTTGAGATGTGCCTTTTGGAATAAAAAAAAACAGGCATTGCTGTGAGACCTGCTGACTTATGGACTTGAGTATTATCTACAATTTCCCTTTAGCCTTCCTGGACCTGATCAGCATGAAGTTGAGGTTGTTTGTAGCGATACTAACCCTATTACTAGGACAGATGAGCACATTAATGTCTTGTTTCAATTCCTTTATGCTTCAGTGAAGGAGGTTTGGGTTTGAGATAGAAGACTTCTGCCCTCCAGTTTCCCAGGTGGTCAGTGTGGCCTGTGTGGGATGCTATGTGCTTGGGAAGGGCGCCTTGTAAGAAGCAAAGGCTGGGTGTGCTTGAGCCTTGTTTACACTGATCAGTGTCAGCTTCATCCTTTCTCCTCCCTTAGGTACTCGGCCTCAAGCTCCCCAATCTCCTAGGACGTGCAGAAAAAGTGACTTTTCAGTTTTCTTATGGAACCAAAGAAACTTCCTACGGCCTGTCATTCTTCAAACCACAGCCTGGAAACTTCGAGAGAAAGTAGGAAACCAAGCAGTTCCTTGAGCTCAGTGATCTGTTTTAAAAGTTAAAGTAGATGGCTTGAGTGTCTTATGATACCTGGCTGTCAGCACTTGCTTCCCCGAGGATGAGCCTGCTGTAGTCTAATTGGGCCTGTTGTTATTTATGTGCAAACCCAAGCCCTGTGCACAGACCTGCTATTAAAGCTCTGTCCCATTGCCTTCTAGTTTCTCTGTAAACTTATATAAAGTTACTGGGCAGTTCCCATGGAGCTCACTCCGGGAGACCGACAGAGGAGTGTCTGCCGAGTATAGTGTGAGTATACCAGGCCCTGTGTGCAGTGTGGAGACAGTGAGCTCACTGACTAGACAGGGAAATGGGTGGGTTAGTGGACTTTTCACTCCTTGGTGGCCTTCTCCTGTCTAGATGCCTCCCCACTAGCTAATGCAGGGAACCAAGGGAAAGAGCTAGCCAGTGTCCACTCTGGTCACGTAACATCTATGCTCCTGACTGACCATAGCACCCAGTACTTTCTTCCATCTTTCTCTTTGCCACCCCCTTTTAGTTTTCTTCCCTAAGCTTTTTAAAGAGCACGCCCTGAAAGAGTTAGGGTTAATTTTCACACGGAACAATAGACACAAAGAGCTCTGGAGTGCAGGTAGGATCGTGTTGGGATGTCACAGGTTGAAGGACAAGGCCTGGCAGTGCTGGCTGTGTCTCAGGCTACCCTGAGTGTAACTGGGCACTGTGGGTGCACTGTGTGCTTTTGTGACTCCTCATAGTTATTGTGGATACAGCAGCGAGTCTCCTTGAGTAAGTGCCTTGCTCACTAAAACCAGCCCTGTGTTCTAGGACAGAAGAGTTTTCTTGGAAGCTTCACTTCTAGCAGGCATCTGGGGTAGACAGTTTTGGGACCCGGCTGCCACTGCCCCTGCTGCCAGGGTCTCACTGGGCTCCTCAGGCTTGCGCAGTGCCCCTGTGTGCTGAGGTGGGCAGTTTTGGTCCACACTCTTACACACCAAGTTTGTGTACCGGGCTTCAGTTGGTGCCTCCTTACCTCAGTGGCCTTGTGTTTTCCTCTAGGCATGCAGCTTCTGGGATGCTCTGTGGGAAGCTTGGCACCTGATGTTCTTGTGTGTGAAGTCACAGCTACTTCCCAAAGCTCCCTGACATAACATTTAGAGAGAATGGGGCTATTCTGAGGTAGAGTCTGGGGCAGGCTGTGGGGCAGACCTGCTGAGAAGCAGGCTCCCTGAACCTGGCTTTGCTTGTACCCTCTGGCTGTGGGAAGAAAGCCCTTGGCCCCATATGGCTTAGTCTCCTTGTTCTTCTGGGACTGATAGCATCCAGGTGACAGGTTACTAGGTCTGCCTTCAGCCAATCAAGTGGGCTGAGTGGGTATGTCACATGGTCTGTGTGTTTTACTGTGATGAGACTGGCACTTGCTGTTGACAGAGTTACCTAGCTTTTGGGTATGGCCCTGTTCCTTCACCTGCAGCTCAGAGTAGCACCGCTCTGATTCAGTTTGCAGCCTTCCCCATCATCCTTGCTGTGTCCTCTTCTGTTCCTCCTCCTCCCCTATTTCCTTTCATTTCAAGCAATTTATCTTGGGGCTGGGGCTGGAGGATGATCAAGTGCCAAAAGGCCTGATCCATCCCATCCCTGGTGCTGAGAAAAGAAATTGCCAAGTGTGCTAGTCAGTGATACCTTATTTCAAAGGATGCTTTCCAACAGTTTGTTCCAGTGTGAACAGTGCAGAACAAGGCTTCCTTCTGTGCCCTTACAGTTTCCGATCTGGAAGACCAGTCACACCGTCAAGTGGGAGGGTGTGTGGCGGGAACTGGGCTGCCTCTCAAGGACTGCATCATTTGCTGTGAGGAAGGAAAGTGGACACTCACTGAAGTCATCTCTCTCGGTAGGACTTGCTCTCCAGGTGGAGAAATGTGTTGACAACCCTGTGGCCCATTGACTAGTCTCTGCTGGTATGGGGCTGAGGTATCACTGAGATTGGGTGGTTGGGACAGTGGCCTACAGTTTCATTGCCTCTTACTAGTTTTTGTAACATCAGTGGAAACATAAACGTGTTTAAGAAATTAAAAGAAATGCAGTGAGCTGACTTAGAGTGGGTGTTGGGCTCTCTGAGAGAACTAGGTTGGTAGGTGTCAGTGGGAAATTCTCTGGTGTCTGGGTTCGCAATCTTAGAATTTTGTGTCACCCTGGAAAATCAGGGACAGAGAAAGTGCCATGGGCATCCTCAGCACAGCCCCAGCCCTCAGTGCACAGCAAGTTTTATTGTCCTTGGAGCTGCTTGAAGTGAAAGTGGCTCCATTCATTTCTTTCAGCATGCCATGGTCATCGACTCTCGGAATTCATCTATCTTGCCAAGAAGAGGGGCCTTGCTCAAAGTCAACCAGGTAGTGTTCTCACTTGGTTCTCCTGTGCTTGGGGAGCCAAGGAAGTGTGCACTGGACTGTCACGCCCAGTGCCAGGGCTGGTGCCCGTAGGGAGTAGTGGTGAATGGTCAGCTTCCCTGAAGGTACAGGGGAACTGGGGGACACACTGTGGGCTGTGGTGACCCAGCCCACTACATCCTGCTGCTCATGGTGCAGGCAGGACCTTGGGGTGTCCAGTCTTCATTTTCAGAGGAGCAATGAATGGTGAGGTTTGTGTGTAAAATGTCCCTGCCATGAAAGCGGCTCACTCATTCCAGGTGCTGAGCAAGCAGGGCATTCTGGAAGGTACAAACAGCAAAACTGTCAATGCAAAGACAGTGAGTGCTTAGTAGCCCCTCTGACTCTGTGCCCTGTGGCTTCTTTCTTAGGAGCTGGCGGGCTACACTGGAGGGGATGTGAGCTTTATCAAGGAAGACTTTGAGCTTCAGCTGAATAAGCCACTCATGTTGGATTCGGTGAGTCTCCAGCCTGTGCTGTGCCTGTGGAGTCAGCCTTCACCTTGGGGTCCTGAGTGCCCAGTGCTGTGATGCTTTAACCCACAGGACTTAGCGTCATCATGTGTGTGCCCTGCCAGGCTGCACTGGTCCTCAGTCTCATAGCCATCCCAGACCTCCTATCATGCCTTTCCTCTCTGCCTGGCACTGCTCAGACTCTGCTGCCTGTGCCTGCGGTGTGGAGCTCTGTGTTCCCTGTACCCCTTTCCTCCCATCCCCCAGCTGAGCTCCCCCAGCTGCACACCTTGCCTCTGCTTTCTTGTGAGGTTATGCTCTGGAGTGGTGCCTGGAGTGCCTTGATTTTCATCACTGCACTCCTTTGCCCACGCTGGCTTCACAGGACACTTTCTCAGGGACGAGGCTCTTCCTTCACAGGCACTTGTCCTTCGTCTGTTGCTGTAATGTCCTTTTGTCACCTGTCCACACGACCTCCTGTTACAAGCTTTTAGGAGTTTGGCACAGGCATGTTTCCAGCCACCTTCTCTTACCTTCTTGCCTAGGTGTTGAGAGGTAGAGGGCTCCACTGTTCTTATTTTATAGAAGCACCATCTTGATCCATTTGCCTATCATTTACAACCTACCCACCCATCTACTCATCTTTCTTCCACTCACCTAGCTATATGTTCTCTAACCCACCTGTTTGTGTGCCCACCAACTCATCCTATCCGCCCATCCACTCCCCTACCACACACCTGCATCCTGGCTGCCAGACACCTAGGGTGTGTGTATCAAGAGGTGGGAACATGAGGGTAGAACCTAAAGAGAGCAGGAAATATTGGTGGTTGAGATAGACAGAATTGGGGGAAACAGGAAGTAGAAGGCAGGATAGGGACAATGACTCCTAGAGGAGGAGGGGCCATCAGTGGAGAGGTCAAAGTTCAGCAAGTTGTAAAGATCAGGGTGGTCCCTCAGCTGTGTGGTGAGACTGGCTGAGGAAGAGCTCTGGGACCTTGGCCGTGCCTCTGAACCTGAGACCACTTCAAATAGAATGCTTATTTTAGGAGACTTGAGGAGAGAACAGAGAACAGAAACAGCAGAATGGCTCTTTTGGGGCATTTACAGGTGGTAATTGGTAGGAGAGTGGACAGGTGGATAGGATAAGTGCATGGGTGGGTGGGTGGGTGGATGGATAGGTGGGCACACAAATGGGTGGGTAAGACAGTGTATAGACAGATAGGTGGATGGTAGAAGGATGAGTAGGTGGACAGATAGGTAGACAGGAGGAGGGTAGAAGGCCCAGGATGTTTGGCTTTGACAGGAAGGAACTGGGGCCTTGTCTGCTGGTGGGAATGTGGAGTATGGACATCTGAGTCAGAGCCTTACTAGAAAAAGTAAGTAAAGAGAGGTCTGCTCTTCTTAGTAGTGCAGTGAGCTGACTTCCAGGCCACAGGTAGTGGTGTGTACATGTGGGCTGGGCAGGTCTGAGAGTCTGCTGAGGCCCTGGAGATCTCCAGGCAGCAGAGGCAGGCCTCAGCCCAGAGAAGGACCAGGAGTTGAAGCACCATCTCCATGAACAGGTCAGAGCCTGAGCCCCACGCAGCCAGCATTGTCGTCACTGTGTGGCTTCCACTAGTTGGAAATGTCAGAGTAGAGTGTGGGTGCTTCTTGACTTCCTAATTTCGTCATTTCCCAGCAAACCTACTTTAAGTTGAAAATGTCCCCGGTGTGGAAACCTGAATAAGTAGCTCAGCCTGTCCAGCCTTCATCAGACTGGAACCCTTCCCTTAGTCTTCCAAAGTCTACCGCAAAGATGATTTTAGCCAAGTGTAGTGTAGCTTGTGGCTTCCAGAATGCCATACCAACAGATGGGCACGTGAGTGAAGTTGGGAGATTTCGTCCTATTAAGCCATGTGGGTGCTGTGTGGCTCTGCCCACTCTTCCACTCTATATTTCTAGTCCTTCCCACTGAAGCATCTAGAAAAAGACCATCTGAGCAGTGTGGAGTTGGCAGGGACAGGACCCAAGATGAGCAGAGGCTCTGGCCAGTCCAACGCCATGAGAGCCTGGGGCTGCTGAGTGAGAAGGCCTCCAGCTCAGCAGTGTTACTCAGTAGGACTGGGGATGACCTACATGATTTTAAAGAGTGTGCCACTGAGTCCCCTTACTGGATGGTACTGCCCCTGAGGGAGAGCTACACACGTGTCTTTATACTACATGATTACAGGAGCATCATAGCCTGTGTAGACCTTCAGCCTGAGGAGCTGCATACCTCAGCCTCCTCACATTTTGGGGTCTGAACAAATGCAGGGTCTCATATCTAGGGTCCTGGTTACCCTCCTCTATCATGTTATTCCATGGGTGTGACTTCTTGTGCAAGAGAGTCCTGTACGGGCTGGATCACAAGCTAAGCCTTGCTGCACAGAATTCTGTGTGACTCTGTTGAAATTTAAATTTGCCTCTGACTGAGTTCTTCAACTTTGCAGCCCCTGTTTCCCTGTGTCTCTGCTGTTGCTCTGTTCTGCTGTGCATGCCAAGGGCATTCAGAGTAGAGCCAGCTTCCTGCTGGTGCTCATGGGGACAGAAAGAAACACTGTTTGTCTTCATACAGGTATTCTCCACATCTCTCTGGGGTGGAATGTTGGTGCCCATCGGTGACAAGCCATCCAGTATTGCTGACAGGTCAGTGCCGGCACAGACTCCCCACCTTCCTCTGGACTTCAGATTATCTCTTCTTACAGATGAGAGTAATATTCAGATTGCTCTTGGTTTGCATGTGGATTCAGATTTTTTGAAGTACCAGTACTTGTACTTAGTACTGCTTGCTTTTTATTGGGACGCTTTATTGCATTACATTTTTTTTCAGCCAGCTGTGGTAGTGCATGCCTTAATCCCAGCACTCAGGAAGCTGAGGCAGGTGGATCTCTGTGAGTTTGAGGCCAGCCTGGTCTACAGAGTGAGTTCCAGGACAGCCAAGGCTACACATAGAAACCCTGTCTCAAAAAACCAAAACCAAAAAAAAAAAAAAAAGGAAAGAAGAGAAAGGAAGCAGGGTGCTCAGTCCTCCCAGAGGATAAGCCAGCCTGACCCTGGGCTGGCTGTCAGTTAGGAGATTAGGAGTGTTTGTGTGTGTGCAGAGTGAGCTATGAAGACACTGTATTGTATATATTAGCTTGTGTTATCATTTGTTCAGGAGATCACAGAGTGATTGTTCACTGAGTCATGAAAAAGTCTTCATAAGTAACATTTTATGTGGGTGTGTGTGCAGGTTCAGCTATGTCGTGGGGCATGTGTGGAGGCCAGAAGACAACCTTCAAGGGTTGGTTCTCACTTTCCCGGTTGTTTTTAGTTGGGGTCTCTTGATTTTGCTACTATGCTGTCTAGCTGGCCCAACCCTCCAGGTGACTCTGCCCATCTCCCATCTCACTATTGGAGTGCTGGGAGTACAGTTGCTTCTTATGCATCTAACTGTTCTTGTGGGCTCCAGGGATCTATTTAGCACCCACATAGGAGATTATAGTGTGTATAACTCCAGTTCCAGAGAATCACACGCCCTCTTCTGGTCTCCTGTGGCATCAATCTTGTGTGTGGTACAAGACAGACATGCAAGCAAAAAACACTCTTACACATTAAAAATAAATAAATAAATAAAGAAATCTTTAAGAAGCACTCAAGCACAGAGCCTGCCATTTGCCTGCATTATTATGTCAGTAGACTATTCAGGAAAGACAATAAAAGTGTATGTGGACCTCTGAGCTCCCTGAGTTCCTATGGACATATCAGAGAGATTTCTGTGAGTGGGGCAGGAAAACTAGAGCCCTGCTTCCTATGCACTGTCTCAGCTTCTTGGACCACTCTTCCCAGGATGTGGAACAACTTTGTACACAGTTCACCACATAGCTGGGTGTAGTGTTGTGTGCTTTTCTGGTTTGTTTTTGTTTTTGTTTTTTTCTGAGACAGGGTTTTTCTGTGTAGCCCTAACTGTCCTGGAGTTAGCTGTTGTAGACTAGGCTGGCCTTGAACTCACAGAGATCTCCCTGCCTCTGTCTCCCGAGTTCTGGGACTAAAGGTGTGTGCCAGCACTGTCTGACTGCCACCACAGCCTAGCTTGTTGCTTGTTTTTTTGTTTGTTTGTTTGTTTTGTTTTTATGCTGTTTGTTTGTGTTGTGTTGTGTGCTTTTCATCCCGGTACTTGGGAGAGCAGAGGCAAGTGCATCTCTTGAGTTTGAGGCCAGCCAGGGATAGATAGTCCTTCTCTAAAATATAAAATATATATGTATAGATAGATGTAGGTGGATCTGTATGGATGGATCGACAGAGATAGAAATACCTTAAAAATTAGAATAATTTAAAAAGCATTGTAAGACATTGTGTCAATGAGGAACTTGACTAACCTTCAGGGAGGCCCTGGGTTCTATCCTCAGCAGTTAGAACCTAGTACAACTCATTGTAGAAAACCAAAGTAATGCTCTATGTGGTCTGTTTCCTTCTGGTATAATCTGGGCTCTCTTGTGGTGTGCTGCACCATTGTGTGACATGGACCCTGCCTTCTCAACCTAATGTGGCTGGGGGTGTCTGCCACATAGCATGTCTGGTTGAGGAGGGAACTTCATGGCGGGTCTTTTAGACAGCTGCCTGCCCTTCTATAAGGGATGGTCCTCCTCCTCCTTGCTCAACTTCCTCCATGTGTCTTTGTTGTGTCTCATTGCTCATCTCCACAACATGAGCCAGTGTTGGATAGATTTTGATAGGTGTCACATACTCACTTATATCTTTCCCACCCTCTCCTAATGTTCTACTGTGTGGAGACAGTGTCATTACCTGGAACCAACTGTGACTCTGCTGCTGGATCACTTGCTGCGGGCCCTGTGGATCTTCACTTAATGACCTGACACTTGTCACTTTGCTGCAGGTTTTACCTGGGAGGTCCCACAAGCGTCCGAGGATTTAGCATGCACAGCATCGGACCTCAGAGTGAAGGTCAGTGAGCTTAGACTTAGACATGCAGCTGTTTCCTTCTCTATGCAGGCTGTCATTTGTGAGGGGACTGAGGCAGTGGAAATCTCAGTTTGCAACAGTGCGAGCCTCAAGACTTCCTGTGGCTTCAGTGTGTGTTGAGTGTAAGGATAAGAGCGTTTCCAGCAGCCATGTCAGTTCTGTTCTCTGGAAGTCACCTTTGCTCAAAAATAGCAGTCCAAGTAGCCCTGTGCCCTAGGGCACAGCCCCCTTTTCTGAAGACTTAGCAGGCCTGTCTCCCATGCCTTTGCTCCCACAGACTGCATGGAAGCAATGTAGATCTGTGAGTGTGAACAAGGTGATTTCCTTGAAATTTGTTTCTGTTTGTTTGTTTTCTTGTTGTTTTAAACTGACCATAGCTCTGTCCACTGATGCTGTAATTCCAAGTTCAGAAGCTGTCCTGAAAACATTAGCTTTTATATGCATGCACATTTGTTTCCAATCACTCAGTGAGTTAAAAACACAAAAAATTATGAAATGAAGGAGCCACAGTAACTGACACTCAGTTACTTCTGGGCGTTGTAGAGGTAGATTAAATTTGGCCCTGTTTTGTTTGAGACCTAAAATGACGCATGAGGGCTGGAGAGATGTCCCAGCAATTAAAGAGCACTGAATTTTCCCAGAAGACCTGGGTTTCTAGTATACACTTGGCGGATCACAGACATCTGTAACTCCAGTTCTGGGGATCTGATGCCCTCCTCTGGTGTCTACAGTCACTGCACGTCTATGGTGCACAGAGACATACATGCTGACAGAGGGGTGTGTGTGTGTGTGTCTCAGTGTGTGTGTGTCTCAGTGTGTCTCATCTCCCTCAGGGACTGCGTGTCCGAGCTTGGACCTTGGGCCCACATAGAGTAAGGCTTGAACCTGTGGTGAAGGGCTTTCTTCAACGTCTGAATGGCTCCTTCACTCCCCTGACCCATCAGGCTATTATAAAAACACTGGGATTAAAGATGTGCACCACCACACTTGGCTCTCATATGCATTTTTGTTGTTGTTGGTGAACCTAGCCTTTAATAGCTGAACCACCTCTCCAGCCCTCATACACATTTTCAAAAAGACACATGACAGACAACTCCATGTATTTGGAATACACTGGAGTGCTGGTCAGCTGGCATTCTCTGGGTTCCACAAGGTCTCACAGGCAGTGCCCCCACAACTGAACACACTGCACTAAAATCCCTCACACACCCCTGCTTCTCTGTGTTCTTACATCCCCTCCGTGCTGGTGAATTAAGAGAATTGAAGCTTTCCTGCCACAGTAGCAAGAGCCCCAGAAATAAGGGACATGTGTAGCTTAAAAGAGCTGTGACAGTGGCAAGAGAAATGGAGGGCAAGGGCAAGGCAGGCAGATGGGGAGAGCTTACCACGGCATAGGCTCCAGGCCCACAGAGTCCAAACACTTGCCCAGCAGATTTCCTCTCCTGGTAACTTGAGTCAATGACTGACCCTAAAAAGAAACTTTTCTCCAGGCCTGGCCTTCTAACATTGAAACTGGGGGGCGGGGGGGGGGTTTGGACAGAAACCTGGGCTGTGACATCCCCAACAGGCTGGACTCGGACACTGCCCCAACATGCCAGATAAAGAGAATAGTGATGGTGAAAGACAGGGAGGCTCAGTATGGCCACTTAAGGAGGAGGGACACTTCAGGCACTGCAGACAGGGGGCATGGCACCTTGTTCTTTAAGTGCCGTGGCTCCTCAGCTGTGAGTGTGGAAGGACTGAAAAGGAGGGAGGCTGGGCTTGCCTGGCATGTAGAACAGCATGCAGAGCAGTACAGAAAGCATGAGCCCACTGCACCGAGTCAGCAGTCTGTTCTCCCTCCTTAGGAGACTACCTGGGAGGGGAGGCATACTGGGCCGGAGGCCTGCACCTCTACACCCCACTGCCCTTCCGGCCAGGCCAGGGTGGCTTTGGAGAGCTTTTCAGAACCCACTTTTTCCTCAATGCGGGCAACTTGTGCAACCTCAACTATGGTGAGTCTACCCTGACTACAAGTTTTTCTGGTGTGGGGTGGTGCCTTCCTTGAGGATGCCATCATGTAAGGGGGAGTCTGTTTCTTACTCTACAAACAAGCTTCAAGTGCTTCCGGATGCCATTAGGGCCTAGAGCTCAGCAGGGCTCTCTCAGAGGTGCTCATGGGACACTGCTCCAGCTTAACAGTTTGGGAGCCCCAGGCCTCCCAGCTACTCACTGAGAGAGCTTTAGAAGGTAGAGGGGACAGGATAGCCAGACACTCGGCTGGCTCTGGGACAGTGGGAAGCAGATACCCAATCCTTTACCTATCTCCACTAGCTGGGCCCAGCTCTAAAGGGCCCTGCCAGGGAGGGAGCCACACGTCTTCAACACCACCTCTGCTGTTTCAGGTGAGGGCCCCAAAGCCCACATCCGGAAGCTGGCTGAATGCATCCGCTGGTCCTATGGAGCTGGCATTGTCCTCCGGCTTGGCAACATCGCTCGGTTGGAGCTGAACTACTGTGTTCCTATGGGCATGCAGCGGGGTGACAGGTGTGTGGGGCCGTTGTCAGCTCTGTCGCTCTGGAGTTGCCATTTGCACTGGTCTGGTCACTTGAATGGCTTTAAGGTTCAGGACTTGGGGAGATTGAATAGTCAACTAAAGAATGAAAATATGTGAGTTCTCTGCTAAGTTCCTCCTTTAGTTGGAGAGGAAAGGGAGATAATAGATGCCCACCCCTTCCCTGAAACACTGCTGCTACTGTCCCCAGGACAGTGCGAGCCCTCTGACTGATGAGCTTGCTGGAAGTGTAGTTCAGTAGTGGGAGCTTCTCTGTGCCACCACTGGACGGGGCTGGCTGGCCACAGCCTAGCTATGGGCTAGAGGACTCTCATGGATGGGGAGTAGTGGCTGTGTTACGCAGGTGAATTTGGCTGAGGGACATTCAGGGTTGTAGGAGTTACCCCATCTCTTATATTCCCTTGTAGGCATTGTGTAAGTGTCTGCAGACTCAAAGGGATTATTATATACAGGGTGCTCTGGGAGTCAGAAGTCAAGATAAGTGCTGGCAGGAAGTTCCTGGCTAGGACACTATGCCTGGCTCACACGGGGCCACCTTTTTGACAAACAGCCTCACAGGGGGACAATCTAATCCAAGTGCTTGGGTGTTCTACATAGGCACAAATCCCTTGACAGGCCCCACCCACATGACTATCCACGCTAGATCACTTCCGCAGGGCTACGTGCCAGGTGCCACCTTGCCTTGTGGTAGGCCTGGACTAGGTTACTTAGCTACTGTGGGTCTGTCAAGTGTAGATGTTTCCTGTTCTGCTGTTGTGTGGTCTGGATGTAGTGTCTGACTCGTGGTGTTACACTGGCCTTCCCTTCTCAGTCCCTGAGTGGTGTGCCCTGTCCACACCATGTCTGCTCCTGCAGTTTGACATGCCACAATTGCTGATGTCAGGGACTGCAGTGAGACGAGAAGGGCTGTCAGCAGCTGCCTCTTCAGCATGGGGATTAGGTCTGTACAGCTTTCCATGCAGGGGCAGCTGGAGCTGTGGCTAGCTGGCTGCGAGGTCTATGCCCCCCCGGAAGCCCTGCAGGAAGTATTGTGAGTGCCAAGTCAGAGCCAGAACCCGGGAGCTGCTTCTCAGGCTGTGCTCTGGGCCAGTTCACCCATTTTGGGAGTGTGGTGGATGCCAGTGGTCACCACTGCTGCTTTTTGCACTCGGCCTTTGTGGCCCATGCTACTGTAATACTGACGGCAGCCGTGGGGTGGCAGTGTGTGCCAAGCAGTTGCTTTGTTTTTGATCCTTTTCTTAATTGGCCCTTTAACATGTGCTGTTTACTGCTCAAGACCCCTCAGCTGTGCCTCTCTCTTAGTTAAACCTGAGAAGTATGTTTCCAAGATTGATCCAGAACATAGCCTTCCTTCATAAAGAAGCAGTCTGCTGCTGAAGTGGGGGAAGGCCCTGGCGGCTCAGGCTGCTGCAGCTGTTTGCCATTGTGGCGGTGGCAGCAGGTGTTTGCAGTGGGCAGCGAAGTCCAGAGCCAGCCTTGAGTGTGGAAATACCCTTCCCTGCTGTGGCTTGGCTTGCAGCTTTGTTAGCAAGAGTGGAAATTGATAACATTTGAGGGAAATGACCTCAATTTCATAGTGTTTCTAAAATTAGGCAGTTGGCAGGTGGACAGTTGTCTGTAGCCCCACCCCCAGTGTTAAGACAGGTGCTCTGTAATTGGCAATTGAGGCCTTTACAAAAAGGGAGACAGTTTGAAGTGTTTTGACTTCCATGCTGAATGGTTTATGTCATCGACATCTCTGGGACCTGAGTGTTCTGTCACAGCAGAGCTCCTCAGGCTAGGTCTCAGGAGACCCAGCGATGAATCAGCGCTGCTCCAGCTGCTCACTGAGCTGCAAGAGGGACACCATCACTGCAGCTGGGGAGGGCAAGAGGCCCCAAGATGGGGCATTGCTGGACTTTGTGAGGACACAGGTGGGGAGGGTGTCCTGACTGGGCACAGCTGTCCTGGGGAGGGTGTAGAGCGTGTAGACAGAGTGTGCAGGGTTGTAGGCTCTTAGGGGAATGACTGCTGACAAGTGAACCTCTTTATTCTCCTTCCTTACCCCCTACATTGATGGCTTCCTCTCGGTGTCTGTCAGGGCTGTTTGGGGCCCGTGACTGCTGTCCCACACACTAAGCCCACCTCCCAGGAGGAAGAGCTCTGGGGGTTAAGAGCGGGCATCAGTGGGCTTTCCTGATGGCCACTGCTGGGGCTGCTGTGAGGGGTGTGCATTGCCTCCATGGGGCAGGAAGGCAGCCCAGAGGTAGAGGCCAAGGAGGCCCACAGGGTATGCAGAGGACTGATGGCCCCTGACCTTGTGACTCTGGATGCTGTCTTGAGTACCCACAGGCATTGCTCTGTGATTGTGATGTGTGTCACAGCACAGACATCTTGGGTTTGTTTACAGTTGTAGTAGCAGAGCTGGACTGAATGCCTTGTGTTCTCTAAAGAACCTGGTATGTTTATCTCCTTTGGGTGTTTCTCTGAAGCAGTGACAGCAGCCACATCCCTTTTATGGACCTTAGTCTAAAATGTGGAACTGGCAGCCTAGGCCCACAGGTGAGAACACAGGCATACTGTAAAGCTCGGGCTCGGCTCCTCAGCCTCCAGGGGAACTGCTTTCCCCCAATTCTGAGGGTTCCTCGTCAGGGGAGTAAGTGGCTGCTGCACATTCCAGTGTGGCAACACTCATGAACCTGTGTCTTTGGGACCCTGAACTGGGTGCTTGGTACCTGCTGCCAGTCCTGGCCAGAATGAGGAGGGCCACACAGGACCTGGTGCTGAGCTCTCTGGAGAGCTCACCTGTGGTGACCCTCTTTATCTTCCTTCCCCGGTCAGGGACAGGTCTGGCTGGCTGGGTTTTGGGGTCATTGTGAGTCCCAGGACTGGCCTGCTGTTTCTGTGCCTTCCTGTCCTTAAACACTGGGCAGGTGGGGGGAGGGGCAGCTTCCCGTGGGATGAAGCAGCAGAGAGCGGGTCTTAGGCTCTCTCTCTCTCTCTCCTTCCTCCAGAGGCTGGTTTTTACTAGCCTAGGCAGACCTGTGGGCGCTAGCGGAGCCTCCTGCTGTTGTAAGGAGTGCTGGGTCTCACTTTTCCCTTTCTCTTTAGGGTCTGTGACGGCGTCCAGTTTGGAGCTGGGATTCGGTTCCTGTAACTTAAGTTACAGCCCCAGGTCAGCTTGGATATGCAACGAGAATCTCCTGGGCCACAGGCCTGTTTGGAGCTGACACAGTTGAGTGCTTCTGGATCATAATCCTTATGGGAAATCAGGTTAATAAATTTGAAACACTCAGCTGTGTCCTGGATGTGGTCTGTCTTTCAGGCCATGTGTCTGTCTGGACATCTGCTTTTCCTGAGGACATGTGACAGTCCAACCTGGGCAGTCTTGGGCCTAAAGGCTTCCAGGTGACCTCCCCAAAGTGCCTTTTCCTCACAGACCCCTAGAGTCTGCTGATGGGCTCCAACCTACCCGAAGTAGGGCTGAACTCTCTGGGTGGCCTCAAAGGACACTGGCCCTGTCATCTGTCACAGGCCATGTCAATGGCAATGTGGCCTTCCAGTGCTGGTGTGATATTAGGATGTGAGGTAGAGGGGGAAGTGTGCTGTCAGCTGATAGCCATGGCTGTTCTGCATGCCACATGGTGACTTAAGCTACACAGCCATCATGAGTTGGAGCTGGGGTGTCCACAGGGTTCATGGGCCCAGATGCTACTGGGCAAGGCTGGCTTCTAAAGATGCCCATGCTCCCTCTTCAGAGCCAGCAAGCCTGACTTCTGCCTCTGCTCTCTTTGAAGGACCCTTTTGACAGCATTGGGTCCCCAAATGGACCCGAGAACCTTATTTCAAGGCTAACTGAAGAGCACACTCACCTGTCTGCCACCTGCTCCTCTCTCTCTCTCTGGCTTCATATAGTTGTTATCCCTTGGTCTTCAAAAGAGGATCAGTTGGAAGCCACCCTTTCCTCTGCTTGTATCCATCGATGCTCAGGGCTGTTATATAAAATGTTACAGGATGTTTTGGGTAGGTGGAAGATAGGGTCTGGCATTGAACTTTTGGGGATCCTCACCAGGCCCTCAAGTGCTGGAACCACCAGTGTGCATCAGGGTGTTGCCACAGCATATGCACATGGACTGTACACAGGCTGTGAGTCACCTATAGGTTCCAATACAAAAGGGAATGTATTCAGCATATGTAATTCCAAGAGCCTGAGGCAGGAGGAGCGCCATAAGTTCAAGGCCAGCTTGGACTACATAAGACTCCATCTTAAAAATCATACTAAAATAGTTGTACTGAATTGTTTAGTGATAGTGTGAAGAATCTGAATGTATTTGGGATAGATAGTTTTTTGTGAGTTTTACTGTGTAGCCCAGGATGAGCTTGAGCCTTTCTGACCATCCTGCCTTCACCTCCGTAAGTGCTGGGATTACACGTGTGCATCACCACTTTGGATTCATGTGATCAAATTCAGAGTTTTGTGCCTGCTGGGCAAGCACTCTACCAACTGAGAAACATCCCCAGCAGCTTCTGAGTGATGTCACTCTGCCTTTGGCTGGAAGCTGGGATGCAGAGCCTGATGGTATGCTGGCCAGCTGTGTCCTGAGCTCCAGGGTTGGGCATCTGTCTCAGACTCAGACTCAGGTCTCTGTTAGTGGTGTTTGGGGAATGTTTTTCTATTTACTTAGAAGCTTTGTTTGTTTTATGTATATGGGCATTTTTGCCTTCATGTATATGTGTGCACCACATAGATGCCTTGTCCCTGTAGAGGTCAGAAAGAGGGTGCTGGATCCCCGATTGGAGTTACATATGGTTGTAGGTCATCCTATGAATGCTGGGAAGTGAATCTAGGTCCTCTGCAAGAGCAGCTAGGGTTCTTAATCACTCCAGCCTCTTGAGGATATTCTTAGCTTTAAAAAAATGAATATAAGCCAGGTGGTAGTAACATACACTTTTAATCCCAGCGCTTGAGAGGCAGAGGCAGGTGGATCTCAGAGTTAGAGGCCATCCTGATCTACAGAGCTAGGTCCAGGATGGTGAGAGAGTTACACAGAAAAACCCTGTCTACAAAACCAAACCTATGTGTGTGTGTGTGTGTGTGTGTGTGTGTGTGTGTGTGTGTGTGTGTGTGTGTATCTCCTCTGAAGTTTTTGAAAACACAGGATGTGTCTGGGACCTCATCCTGCCTGTGCCCCCCCCCCCCAATGTTCTCATTCTCTATCAGGTCCTGTCCTTCCTGTGGCCTTTGTTTGTCTTTGCTAAATGACTTTGGGGCATAGGGGTCTGTCTGCACCCAGACACCACCCCCATCACTCCTACCCCGACCCAGGCTCCCAGGCCTCTGAGCACTTTCCTCTCCTTCCCACCTGCAGTGGGAACTGGTGTTCGCTGAGAATAAACTTGCTTTTTCAGTGGTTGGGAAACTTGTCAGTTGTTCACACTTTCTCACTGATGATTTTAATAGAAGAGGGGACCCAGTTAGGGCCCTGATAGTTGGGAGCTGCGGGAACTGTGACACAGATTTGCAGACCCTGTGACCTTTGAGAACCTGGAGAAGACACTTGTGAAAGTCTGGTTTTAATCAAGGCTGTGCTGTCCTGGGAGCTGCCTCTGGCTCCAAATGAAAGCAGCCTGGCTGTCTCCTGCTGGCCCTACATGTTTGATTTGCAGGCTGCCTGGCAGGCTGCTCTTGGGTGAGGGGAGGTGGGCTAAGGTGGAAGCTAGAGGCCCAGGGGAAGGTGAATTCTGTCCCTTCTCAGAGGGTGTGGTGGGCTGACCAGAGTCAACAGCCAGAGTCTCAAAAAGACTGGACTAGAAAGCTAAGGAGGGCAGGCAGCTCCTTTGTAAGCCTTGGCCCAGATTCTTTGCAGCTTAATGCTTCATTTCTCCTCAGCATGTGGAGGATCTAGGTGGGGACAGAGTTTGAGATGTGTTTAATTAACCTTTGCTCCACTTTGTAAGGGACCAGACTTGCAGCCAGCTTGTCTGTTCTACAAGGACACTGGATTCCTTGTTCAGAGTGTGCTGACTCAGTCATGTGTGCATCCCCAGGCTGATTGTCCTGAACCTTATCTTGATACTTAGGGAAGAGCCTGTGGTGATGGCGCCCATCCCCCAGGACCCAGGCCAGGAGACTCCAGAGCTGCTGGGCCTTCCCTCTTGGCTTTCTGTCCTGAGCTTGCCTCATTTCTGATCTCCACAGACAGCTGTTTCTTGAGGCTGTGGTCTCCCAAGCATGATTCCGTGCTATTGCAGTGATCACTGGGGGAACAGGGCTTCCTAAGTAATCCCAGTCTTACAATGCCAACATGTCACAATTGCCCAAAATAAAAAGATGCCATTAATACCATCACTGATTGTGTCATAAAGTTCTTTGGGGACTGGGAGACTGCCAATCTCTGTGTGACAGATTTAAAAAAAAAAAAAAAAAAAGGCAAAACCCTCATTTTCTAGCTTGTAGGAAGCCCTGAGTTTGATTCCTACCACCACAATAGGAAACCCTTTATCAGATATAAATTCTCTACCTCCCAGTCCTGTAAAATAGGGATGGGATGCCTATGTTTATAACAAAAACAGAGTTGGGGTGGGGGTGCAGGAGCCATGGCAGCCAGTTGGAAAGACTCAGCGCATTGGCAGGAGGCAGAACCAGGCATCGGGGTGGGATGAGGGTAGAAGATAGAGAGGGATAAGCCTTTCCTACTCTAATGAACTCCAAAGACTGAAAATTGCTACTCAGTTTCGAGTTAAACCTTGGCATGTTTTTACACTCTCCAGTGCAGTGAGAAGGAGCCGTGGGAAGCTGTCTCAACACTGCCTTTCCTGAGTGGAAGCAGGGGTCCAAGAAGCTATGCTTTGCCCCAGGAGGAGCGGGGCTAATGGTAATCATGGACAACTTGTCTCAGAGCCAGAGTGCGGCTCCAAACGTGGCACTTCGCTGACAAGTAAATTGCAAGATTCCTCGCCAAATCATTAGATAACTTTTAAGAACAAAGAATGAGCGGGCAAAAGGAGATGCAGTGTGATCTTGCTGGAAAAATAAATAGCAATCATTTTTGAAAAGAAAGTACATTCGATGAATTTGACCCACTGAGAAAATTACAGCCTCTCTTCCCCGCCCTGCTTCGATCCGTCAGCCCTTAATGGAGGAAGCCTTCCTGTGTTTGTCACGGTGAAGATGGGCTGGTCAATTAAAGTAGTCTGCCTCGTCTAGTGGAGATAATAGCAGGCCTGGACCCGTCCATCACCATGGACTGGAAAGTGACCTCCCTATATTGAGTCAGAGCCCTGAAAGCAATCTCTCCTGCTCATTATCATACCCAGAAATTACTGCTCTGAACCTGATCTCCCTGAAATACCAAGCCAGCAGAGCAACTGCTGGACCTATAAGAACACAATGAAATGACACTGTGGCCTTAATATTGGACTTGGAAGGGAAATAGATGTGTTGCCTAATGGGGAAGAAGTGAAACTAGATTCTCAACAGGACACCTGCCTGGTTGGGTTGACTGATTGCCACCTGATGGTGAAGCTGAGACAATAACCCACTGCTTTTAGCAACCGGTTTTCACAGCTACACCAGAGCTGTGCCACCTTGAATTTGACCCTTCCTGCCGATTTCCACAGTCCCCAGCCAGGTTCCGCAGTGTTTTCTGTCTGTCTGCAAAAGATCCTTACAGCTCTTCCAGGGCAGGAAATGAAAAGCATGTGGAAGGGGAAGGTCAGGTGCTTGCACACCAGAGCAGCCGAGCCTGGACTTCCTGTGGTTGGTAATGCGTTCCTTCCATACAGGTCAGACACTGGCCACGTGGAGGCTGTGCACGTGGCTTTCACCCTGACTCCAGAGCAGAGGGGCCTCCTGTGGCCCAAGGCCCTTAGGCACATCTCTGTGCCTCCTCCCTCTAGTCATCCTGAGTGAGGCAGTGGTGGTGCAGCCTAGGGACCTTGTATGAACAAGCCCTGTATCCAAAGCCCAGCACTGAAAACAGTCAGTGTACATCTACAACTGAGGACATTGGTATTGTTAGAAGACATGATTTATTCCAGTTTCCTTAGTTTTTTGTTATTTTATGGGGTTGTGTAGAGGTTGTGTGTGTGTGTGTGTAAGCCAAGGTCTTATGCAATCAGGTTGGTTTCCAACTACCTATGTAGCTGAGGATGGCCTTGAAGTTCTAACCTGTAAGTCTCCACCTCCAGAGTGCTGAAATTACAGGCATATGAGATCAAACCCAGGACTTTGTGTATGCTAGACAAACTCTCTATCACCTGAGCTGCGTATACCCCAGCCTTCCTTAATGAAGA